TTTTTGATTTTATAATGCTTTTAAAAATGTTTATGATTTAAAATTCAATTAAATATAAAAAATGATATAAAAAAGAACCGCCCTCCAAGGGGGTCGAACCCTTGACATTTGGCTTAAAAGGCCAACGCTCTGACCAACTGAGCTAGGAGGGCTAGCTTATAAAATATTTAAGTTCATTTCTAAAATTTCACAAAAGGAGAAAATACTAAAAATTCAAAAGAAAAACTAAGTTTCAGTAGAAATGAGTAAGATATCTAAATACTTTATAAATTTTATTATTTAATTCAAACATTAAAATATTAATTAATTCTAAATAAATGATCTTTATTCATATTTATAAAATATTGTATTTAGATTAATGAATTCGAAATATTTACAACAACACTCTTTTTTTTTGATTTTATAATGCTTTTAAAAATGTTTATGATTTAAAATTCAATTAAATATAAAAAATGATATAAAAAAGAACCGCCCTCCAAGGGGGTCGAACCCTTGACATTTGGCTTAAAAGACCAACGCTCTGACCAACTGAGCTAGGAGGGCTAGCTTATAAAATATTTAAGTTCATTTCTAAAATCTCACAAAAGGAGAAAATAATAAAAATTCAAAAGAAAAACCTTTTGATAATTAAATATAAAATATTTAATGTATAATTTCAAACTAATATAACATTTTAAAAATCATTTAAAAGCTATCTGTCTAAATATATCATATTATATTAAATATATTTGATACAAATGAGAGAAAATATAATAATTAAAATTATTTCACAATTTTTAATTTTTAGCTCTTTGAAATTAAAAAAACAAGAAAAACTCAATTCATATTTTATAAAGACAAAAATATGGATCAGAGAAATTTCTTAAATTTAAAAAATAACTCTTAATTTTTTTTTAGCTTTGCTTTCCATTCAAAATAATGGATTTAATGAATGCTCATTATTTTTGCAAAACAAAATTAGGAGTATGACTGTTGAACAAGCAACTAATAAGGGTAAAAAATTGCAATAAACGTATTTCATAAAAAATTTTATTTTCTAATAGTTCTTTGAAGGTATCGTAACAGTTTTAATTATAAGTTTTTTGAATAGCGTTTTGCTAAATTTTTTTTGATGTCTCTTTATTTTAAGAAGTATGAAATAAAAAATAATAAAAGAGAATATTATATGCTTTTTGAATTTCTTTAATAAAATTAGACGTACTAAATAAAAATCATTAATATTATAAATTCATTCAATTTCAAACTCTATATTAAATGAATAAGTGGAAGTTTGTTCGAAATTCAATTGGACTTTTTGGCTCTGCTGTTCATGAGGGGCAAACAAAAACTGGAACTGAATTAGCTCCAAAAGCATTGAGAGAAGGAGGGTTGATATCTGCCTTGTATAATTTGGGATGGGAAATAAATGATATGGGAGATATTCAAGGAAAAAATCATGAGATAAAGAAGTTTAAGAGCTAGTTTTTTAGGAACAGTTAATAATTAGGTATAATTAATGGAGAGATAAGCAAAAGATCTTTTAATATAGCTTCTAAGCAACAGTTCATGTTAAATATTGGAGGGGATCACAGTGTAGCTTGCGGGTCTATTCATGGGTTATTGGAACATTATGGAGATGAATTAAGAGTAATTTGGGTGGATGCACATGCAGATTGCAATTATGAACTTGGTCCAAATAAAAATTATCATGGAATGCCTTTAGGACATCTTTATGGGGCTATAACAGATCCGATAAAAGGATTTGAATGGTTTAAGAATAGATTGAATACAAAGAATATAATTTATATTGGAATTCGAGATATTGATCCTATGGAAAGAGAATTCATCAAAGATCACAAGATCGTTTTTTTTGGAATGGATGAGATTATAGAATTGGGCATAGGATAAGTAATGAATAGAATTCTCAAATTATTTGAAGGAAAACCTATACATGTGAGTTTTGATGTAGATTCTATTGACCCTGAGTTTGCTCATGGTACTGAAACTTTAGTAGATGGAGGAATAGCTTCCAGAGAAGTTCATTATTTGCTTAGAAAATTGGCTGCTTCTCGATGGCTAGTGGGAATGGATTTAGTAGGAATTAATCCATTGTTAGAGAAAACTCCAGAACTTAGAGAACAATTTTTCGGCGATTTTTAATAAGTATGTCATATATCTTTATTATCAAGATTGGAAGAATTCAAGGAACACAAACTGTTGCTTTGGGAATAGAATTGATTGCTTCTGCCTTAGGTAGAACATTAGTTTTATGAATATTGTATATATTTAGTTTTATTTTCAATAAAATTAAGGCAATATTATATAAATCTTATGTATTTATAAAAGAAATTTTTATAATGTTTGAAAGGCAGAAATTCAATTAAATAATAAATATAACTTTAAGATGCTGTAATAAGAATAAAAAGATAAATTTAGAGAGCTTCTTTAAAGAAAGAATTAAGATAAATTATACTCAAGATATAAGAGAATTGAATCTGAAGCAAAAATATGTGATTTATCATTCTCTGGTTCTAAATTAATTACTGCACAAGATATCGATGTTGTGATTTATCATTTTGATTAAGAAAAGCTAATTTAAAATGAAACTATCTAAAATCTTCATAAATACTTAATTTACTCAGTGTGTTTTAGCAAATCCGGGAATTGGTTCTTTACAGCAGGATATGAAACTATAATAAAATTATGGGAAAAAAAAGATAACAATTGGAAGTGCTCTTAAATCCTTAATAGTCATAAGGACTCAGTTCTAATTCTATTAATGACAACTGATGAAAAATAATTATTCTCTAGAAGTAGAGATAAAACTATTAAAATTTGGGGAAAATAAGATGAAATATGGTAATGCCAACGAACTATTCAAGCTTCTTCTGGAATTGTAGAGTCATTATGTATTAATCCATAAAATAATATGTTGTCTTTTGGATGCAAAAATAATTTATTAATTTGGCATAATACTATTTAAAACAAATGGAGAAAGTATTAAGCAATAGTTTCAGCCCATACCTAATTGATAGAATCAGTTTGTTTTATATCTGATGGTTCACAGCTAGCTTCTGGAGCAAATGACATTAAGCTGTGGAAGATTTTTACAGATAATCTATAATATCGATTGACTCAAGTGATTGCTCCTTTAGGCAATGTATCTATAATGGAATTTAACGACAAACTATAGTTTCTGTTTGCAGTTACAAATAAAAAGTTTATTTAAATTTGGAAGGTAGAAGATTATAGCAATCTAAATCTTTAACAAACAATTTAAGTATAAAAGTCAGAAATTTTTTATGAGGAAGATCAATTTTATGAGTCAATTGGTGTTTCTGAAAATGGAAATTATGTCATTTTAAAAGATAATTACAATGATTATTTAGATATTTGGTAATTAAAGTGAAATGAATATATTCATTTCGACTTTTCATTAATATTAATTTAATTTTATTGTACTAGTACTTTTAATTAATATTGTACTGATGGTTTCTGATAGCAATTGATAAATTTTCGTTATTCTTAGTCGACTATTGGCTTATTTTAAATTAGAATGATTAGATCATTTGTTTTCTTATTCTATATTTGTTATAGTTTCTTTAAAAATACTGTTTCAAACAAATATTCTTAGTCAACCAATCATAATACAGAATTTTTTATTTTAATAAACTTATAAACCCCCTGAATATAAATTCAAAATTAAATTAAACAATCAATAATAAAATGGCTAGAACTAAGTAAACTGCAAGAAAGAGCACTGCTGGTAATAAAAAACCAACCAAACATTTGGCTACCAAGGCTGCAAGAAAGACTGCACCAGCTGTTGGAGCTACTGGAGGTTTAAAGAAACCCCATAAATTCAGACCAGGAACTGTAGCCCTTAGAGAAATCAGAAAATACTAAAAGTCAACTGAGTTGTTGATCAGAAAACTTCCATTCTAAAGATTAGTCAGAGAAATTGCACACGAATTCTAAAAGGAACTCAGATTCTAAAGCTCAGCTGTCTTAGCACTTTAAGAAGCTGCTGAAGCTTACCTTGTTGGATTATTTGAAGACACCAACTTGTGTGCTATTCATGCAAGAAGAGTCACAATTATGTCAAGAGATATCTAATTGGCCAGAAGAATCAGAGGAGAAAGATTCTGATCAATTAATATTATATTCAATTAAATGTGTTCATCTCTTTTAATGCTAAATATTTTCTTTTTAATTTTATTTGTATTAATAATTAATTCTGAACAATTAAATAATACAAATTATTTTATTATGAATTCATTATTAATTTGATATCTAATAAAATTTAAAACTATTTTTTATCAATTAAAACTTTCTTCCAAGCTATTTCAATCTTCTTTAGATTTTTTCATATGATTAAGATTACTAATATTAATGTTATATTTTTTTAAATAACCCTTTGAATAAACTTCAAGTAATCAATACATATTTTGCCTTATCATTCAAAATATAATTATTATTTTTTTAATATTATTAAATTCTATAAGAAATTCAGTTTTTTGATTAGCTGTTTATATATATAAGGCAATATTACATGAAAAAACTTGATTAAATTGTAAAAGGCCTTAATAAAACTGAAGCTAGAGATAAAATTAGTAAAATGATTTAATATGGAACAAGATTTTTAACATGGTATTACCAAAAATTAAACAAGCTAGAAAAAGCAGATTAATTTAATAATTTATTTAGTATGAATAAGTATCAAATAATAAGTGGCAATGAGAGAAGCTCGAAAGATTTTTAGATTAGCTAAAACTTTGAATGAAATTCAATACATATTAGAAAAGATTAAAGAGAATTCAGAAAATTAAAATGACATTATAAGAGCTTTGAAAATCTTCTCAAGAATTTGGTATGCTTTGTTTTGGTATTTTTTATTATAGATTATAGATTAGGGCTTTTGATAACATAAGCATCTTGTCATAAATATAAATAATTTAATCAAATCCATAAGTCTTACATAAAATTGCGATGACTTTTTGGACAGTTGGAATAATTACTAATTTAGCTGAGTCTTTTAGAGATCTTATTAGAAATTTATATTAACTTAAAAAAATTTCAAAGTCGACAGACTCGAAAGAAATACATAGAAGAATCAATATTAACTACTTGAATATCCTTAAAAATTTATGTGATTTATTATTGGCTGGGACAGGAAGTGAATTATTTTTAAAGATATTTTTGTTCGAACCTAATGGTGCTTTAGTTGGTTTGGGTGGATTTATTGCAGGAGCTATAGCAGCATATCAAGCATTTTGAAAAAAAAGTTAATCAATAATTTTATATATATAATGAGTTATTAATCCTAAAATTAAAATTTTTATGTTGTTCCTATCCCATAGAATATTACAGTATTGCAAAGTTTTAAGAAGTGGAGAAGGACAGGAGAAAATTTGAATGGTGCTATTATGATTGGAGTTTTGGAACATTTTCTTATAAATGGGTAGCTGGAAAAAATTTAATAAATGTTAAATAATGTGAAGAGCGTATCAGATGATCAGGTTAAAAAAATGAGAATCTGTATAGAAAAATCTTTGCAGTTTCCAAAAGGAGAATAGAAATTAGATTTCATTATGGATTTTTTAAAATAATCTGATCCTCATAATATTTTTGCTGAAAAATTCATTTTAGAATATGTTAAAAGAGTAAAAGGAAATATAAAATCAGATGATGAATTGCTAAAAACATTAAAAAGTCTTTTTTCTGTATCAATATCTNCATGAAAAAACTTGATTAAATTGTAAAAGGCCTTAATAAAACTGAAGCTAGAGATAAAATTAGTAAAATGATTTAATATGGAACAAGATTTTTAACATGGTATTACCAAAAATTAAACAAGCTAGAAAAAGCAGATTAATTTAATAATTTATTTAGTATGAATAAGTATCAAATAATAAGTGGCAATGAGAGAAGCTCGAAAGATTTTTAGATTAGCTAAAACTTTGAATGAAATTCAATACATATTAGAAAAGATTAAAGAGAATTCAGAAAATTAAAATGACATTATAAGAGCTTTGAAAATCTTCTCAAGAATTTGGTATGCTTTGTTTTGGTATTTTTTATTATAGATTATAGATTAGGGCTTTTGATAACATAAGCATCTTGTCATAAATATAAATAATTTAATCAAATCCATAAGTCTTACATAAAATTGCGATGACTTTTTGGACAGTTGGAATAATTACTAATTTAGCTGAGTCTTTTAGAGATCTTATTAGAAATTTATATTAACTTAAAAAAATTTCAAAGTCGACAGACTCGAAAGAAATACATAGAAGAATCAATATTAACTACTTGAATATCCTTAAAAATTTATGTGATTTATTATTGGCTGGGACAGGAAGTGAATTATTTTTAAAGATATTTTTGTTCGAACCTAATGGTGCTTTAGTTGGTTTGGGTGGATTTATTGCAGGAGCTATAGCAGCATATCAAGCATTTTGAAAAAAAAGTTAATCAATAATTTTATATATATAATGAGTTATTAATCCTAAAATTAAAATTTTTATGTTGTTCCTATCCCATAGAATATTACAGTATTGCAAAGTTTTAAGAAGTGGAGAAGGACAGGAGAAAATTTGAATGGTGCTATTATGATTGGAGTTTTGGAACATTTTCTTATAAATGGGTAGCTGGAAAAAATTTAATAAATGTTAAATAATGTGAAGAGCGTATCAGATGATCAGGTTAAAAAAATGAGAATCTGTATAGAAAAATCTTTGCAGTTTCCAAAAGGAGAATAGAAATTAGATTTCATTATGGATTTTTTAAAATAATCTGATCCTCATAATATTTTTGCTGAAAAATTCATTTTAGAATATGTTAAAAGAGTAAAAGGAAATATAAAATCAGATGATGAATTGCTAAAAACATTAAAAAGTCTTTTTTCTGTATCAATATCTATAATTGGAGATGATAATTAAAATAATTTAAATGTTATATTAGATCCTAAAGAGAGAGAGATCATATATATATACAATTATAATTCAAAATATTATGTAATATAAAAAGAAGCTGGTCCTTAGTTATACAAGTGTGTATATTGCGCGAAGTAATTTTCTGAAGATTATTATAAAATGAACTGTTCATAAATTATTTGTTATTAGTGCTTAAAAAAGTTTTTTGATAAGGGGAATAAATTGGTCTAATGTAGAGAGAAAAATTGTTCTTCTACAATTACATAATTTGAATATGAAAAAATTATGAATAAAAAGAAAGAAAATGAAAAAACTGAATAATTAAACCAAATAATTTAATAAAAAGCTGAGGAAAGATAGTAATTTTACCCTTTATTCTGTCATAAATGTAAAAATAGAATGAGTTAAGAGGCTTTACTATCAACTTAAGGTTGTTCACATAATTTTTGCAAAGATTGCTTGATAATTTGCTTTAGTGTAATCCCAAGTGGAAATTATTATTGCATAATTTAAGGCTGTAAAGGAAAATTCATACAAAAAGATTTTGATTAGTTTACAAAAGGCGTGAATAGTAAATAAAATTCCTAAATAAAGCAAAATAGACTTAATAATTTAACTCTCTAAATCACACCTTAAGAAAATTAAGAATTAAACAATTAGTGTGAAGGTTGTTTTAACTATTTTTCGCTCTCATCCATATACACAGCTGAATGTTCACATAAATTTTGCCAGATTTGTTGTGATAAAGAAATTAAATAAAATGTCAGCTGTTTCTAATGTTACAAAGTTAATTGTGGATATAAGCTCAAAATAGAGGATATTTAAAAATTTTATTATAAGAAAATTAAAAGCTTGACATTTGGTGATTGTGCAAATTGTAAATAAGAGTGTAAAATTTTTGAATCATTTTAAAATAGATGTTAACATTTAATTTGTTATAGTTGTGTCAAATAGATTTATACTGAAAGATTTTAACCTATTTGTAAATTATGTTAAACTCTAATTAATCCAAACGATTTAGATGATTATTATTTACCTTAAGCTTCAAAAGAAATTTAATAAATCTAATAAATGGAACCAATTGAATATAGTTTTGAATAGCTTTCATGTACATTTTGTAATTCTCCTTTCACAAATTATAATTTATAACAAGATATTCCATGTTAAATCCATCAACTTGGATCTTGCTGTATAATATTTCCATCAGATTGTCCATAGTGCCAGATCAGCTCTTTGATTATTGAAAAATGTAATATTTATATTAATTTTTAGAAAGACTAAGATTTGTATTATTCCAAAATGAAATGGATAATTTTTATTTTACCTCTGAAAGTTCAATTAAATGAAGAATTCTTTGTTTCATATCATCATTTATTGTTTTCATTTTCATTTTTAAAAAATAGTACTATTTTCTCAACAAAGTCATATAATTATTTTTCACTAATTATGTTTAAGGAGCATAAAGTTTATCCTCATCAAGAAACATGAAAATTTTAAAAAGATTTTCTTTTTTTACTTGATATAAGAGAATTTTTTCATTTGTTTCATGTTATATTGATTTATATTGAGAGTAGTAATTTTTTTGATCCAAAAAGAAAAAGAGATTACAAGTTATTTTTAAAATTCATTTATTTTTTAAACCTCTGTCTCAAATTTATAAAACTTTTAAATTAAAAAACAAATAAAAATGTTTAAAAGAAAATATCAAATTAAAGATAACAATTAGATTATAAGCTAATAAAACTCAAAAATATTTATACAATTAATTTATTTTTGAATAATAAAAAGGGATTGGAAAGAGTCGAAGTTTTTCTGGTTCTTTATCAGGACTAATCAATGCCACCACTGGCACAATCCCTTTATTCTGATAAATCAACTTAGCATTTATAAAATCAAATTTTGTTAAACTTTGTCATTTTAACTCATTGAGACTAGTTAAAACTTTGAAAATTTTAGTTATTTTTATTAATATAATACCTTAGATAAAAGGATTGGTCATTTACATTTAGAATTAGTTTTCTATTCAGATTTTTGGTTTAAAGAATTTTTTATAATATATCAATTAAGAGAACAAATATTATTTTCTGGTTGAGATCAACCTTATATAATTATTTTTTTTTGAATATTAAAAGGATTTAGCATTTTTAGAATGAGAAAGTTTTGTAATGTAACTTAAAATTGAAAAGAGAAAAATTAATTAATTTTCTGGTTACTTCTGATCAGGGAATATTTATAATAAAATCCTAAAAGAATAACTTGAAAGGAGAAATTCATTGTAAAAATGAGAACATAATTGACATAAGAGAATGATAGAATTGGTTCTTAATTGTAATTTATTAAAAAAGAAAGAGAGAAAATTAAATCTTGAGAAATTTGATTATGAAAATTAAATAGATATATAATTAGAGAAAGAACATGAAGTAAAAGCTTTAGGTTATTTTTTAAAAGAGGGAGTAAATATGATTTATAATATTTATGTATTTTTATTTGGAAAAATTGAATCTAAGGTTTTTAAAAAGTTAAAGATTTAAAAATCTAGTAAAGATATAAAGATTATAAAATTTAATAATTGAAAATGAATAAAATAAAAAGGAGTTGGAAAGAGTTGAACTTTCTTTTTATTCTAGGACTAATAAATGCCACCATTGGCACAACCCCTCATTATCTGATAAAAAAATAATAATTGAGTATAAATAGTATAGTTGTTATGTAATTTTTATTAAAGGCAAAAATAAATGGGTAAGGTATGTCAATAGTAAAGTAAGAATAGTAAAGAATTAATTTATAATAATTAAATTTAGATGATAAAGGATGATAATTATGAAAGGGAATTTGAGTTGAAGGAGTTAGAGATAGAAACAAGGAATGCAGTTTAAGTAAATGATAAGATTAAGGTAGTTTCAAGACCTGTTAAATTGGTGTGTAGCTTAAAATAAGTCAAAAAGAAAGGAGCTATTTGAGACATTTGAGTTTGAGGATGAAGAGAAGGTTCCAGTTTTATAAGACTTAGATTCAATTAGAGCGATGACAGAGTAGATGTAAACCATGCAAAAGAATCTATAGAGTAAGTATACTTTGATTAAGAAAACTAAACTGCTATTTGAAAAGAAAGTAAATTAATTAAGAGAAGCATTGGGTAATATTCGAGTGAAAGAGTTTGAAGTGAATGATGATTCAGTGATAAAGGAGTTACACTTAGCTAATAAGAGAATGTTGGAGTTTTAATAATTGTCAGAGAAATTCAGAAAAAACTAATAGAAGCGTCAAGAATTGTAACAAAAAGAATTAGAAAATGAATAAGAACAGTTAAGAAAGCAACAATAACATATATTAGAATTGAAGATGGAGAATTAGAAGTTATTAGATAAAATATAATAATTGGATTTAGAAGAGTAAGAAAAAAGGAGAAAATTGCATGAATGTTATTAGACGAGTGAATACATAGAGTTTTTCACCGAAGTTCAAATGTTGCAACAAGACAAAGAAGTTTCAACAAACTCAAATGAATAATCAAGATAATTTGGGAGAGATAGATAATCTACAAGACATGAGATAGTAACAATGATGGATGAATTTTATAAAAATCAAAATATCCATTAATTAACTGAAGAAATTACAGAATTTTACAGGTCTATGGTTGAATAATTGAAGGTACAGACACATACATACAATATGTTGATTGAAGAAAAGGCTTTAAGGAAATTATAATTGGAAGAAGTGATTGAAGATATCAATAAATTAAGAGATTTTTCTTGTAATGTATCTCAACAAGATATAAGTTAGATTAATTAGGAAGGTTCGATTAATGCAATCAATGTAGAAGTACCTTCAGTGATACAGGAAAATAATCAATTAGGCAATTATGTCAAACAGAATTAGATGTGTCTAATAGCTATTCATATGAAAGCTATTGATATGATATCAAGAGTGTGTATAGGATTAATCTGGCTTAGTGAAACATCTAAAATGGTACCTAAATCTCTAGATAATCTTTGTTCCTAATATTTGAAGGGACATTCTAAAGCTGAAATTAAGTTATTTATTCCAAAAAAATACCCAAAATCATAAAAGTTTGGATCTTTTATATCTATTATCAATAGAAATAAAAATGAAATTAGTCCCAAAGGTAGTAGTACCAATATTGTAACAACAACAATGAATAATATTGACAAGAGTTTTGAGAATGAATAGTTGATTCAAAGTTTGAATCGCTTTAAATAATTAAAAAATGGATATGAATAAATTTAACTCACTTGGATGACACTTGTTAAAAATGATTTACTAACTTATAAATTTGTTAAGGATTTCAACTTAGATCAAATTGAAATCAATTAACCTCTTTAAGATATAATATTGCAATTACACATTGTTTATGCAGAGGTAATTTCCAAAATTAATTACTTTTAACATTATGAATATTAATTTGCCTATTTTAGAGACATTATAAAAATGATCAACTAAACTAAGAATAAAATTAACATCAACAATAGCAACCATAGATTATGTGATTCTACCCATTTGAGTAACAGTTACACTCCAAATAAATACATTGAAACCACTTATAAAGGTCAATTAAAACGATTAACTCATCCTTTAGTTGAAGATGATGAACCTCTTGTTACTTAAGATAATGTTAAGAAAATACAAAAAACTAGTGATGAAACTAAATTTCATTAATATTTTATTCAGCAATCCAGCATCATTTAACGTAAATCACCCCTTCTACATGAAAAACTAATATCATAAACTTTACAAACTATAGATTAAATGCGCAGAAAAGAATTAGATGACAATTATTAAACTTCAGATCAAGCTGCTTCAGATATTGATTATCTCAATTAAGAACGTAGAAATCTAAAGGGAATGCTTAATAAGAAAATATAATAATAACAATAGTATATATCTAAATCAGAAGAAAAAGATCTAATCACATCAAGATCAATTATGAAACAAGTTAGTCTTTTATCCAAAATTTCACATTGTAATTTATTCAAATTATTATAGTATCTAGAGTCAATTCTAATTAAAATTATACCCAAGTCAATAAATCAATTCAAAGATTGAATTAAACTGTTCAAAAGAAAATGTCAGAATACTTCACCTAAGATTTAAATTCTCAGGAGAATAGGATAAGATATCCACCTATTGAAAAGAAGATATCATCTCGTTCTCCAGAATAAAACAAAAAATCCATTATTGATACCTTTCATAAGGATCTTTCGTCAATGATCTTGAATTCTACTTCAAATGGTCGTTCATTTATGGCCTGATGAAAAAAATAATTAATATATCTAAAATCTATGAATATCTATTTTTATATTGTGCTTTTTAATATGTGATTAAATTTTAATCAAAAAATAGTATTGTATTCTAAAACCTCCAAAGTTATCGTTTTGAATTAATTTTACTTACATTTCTTGAATTAATTTATCTCTTGACAATTAAAAGTGATGCATTTTAAGTTTAAAATAACCAATAAAATATTATGAAATCTCTTTCACTTATAATTTTTGAATATTTGAAAAGCAAATACTAAAATGTGACAACCAAGCAGATTAAGTACAAATACCATGTAAATAAGCCTACATATCACAGTTAGAAATGGAATAAGGTGAATGCATGAATATGCTCAATCAAAGTGACAATAAAGTTAGAAGCACATTGATCAATTTTACTATAATGAGCCTATTCTTCAAATAATTTGAACGCATTGGTGTAGTTATTTATTTCATAGTCATGATTCTTGATTACTCATTTTTTGGGGCAACAGAAGAAGATCTTGTTGTATATGTAATGCCACTTACTATGCACTTTGTGCTTCAAATATCAAAGGCTCTCTATTTTGACTTTATAAAGAGAAAATAAGATGACATAGTAAATAATAGAAGAATAACACGCTTTCGTAAACTTAGAAAAGATAAACCAAAATATTAAGTAACACAATAATAATAGCAGTAATCTTCATTTAAAAAACCTAAAATTTCACTTTATGAGAATTGTTTTTGGGGATGCATTGAATAAGGAGATATTATTTATTTAAAACGTAATGAAGTTTGTCCTGCTGATATGCTTTTGCTTGATGTTTCAGATGAAATTCTACAAGTATAAACACAAAATTTCTAAGGTCTAACACTTGATTAAACTCGATAACCAACATAATTAACAATGTTAAAAAATGGGAGAAATAGAATTTAGGGTTTCGATTACAAGAAGTTGCTGACTGGAACGATTTAATATAATATTAATGAATCATCGATAAATGGATTTATAAAATTAAAGAAGGATCCTAAAGGTGAATATTTTGATAACAAAAACATAATCTTTAGAGAAGAACAAATTAGAACTTGTTAATATGTGATTGGGGTTGTACTATAAACAGGTAACAATTGTTTTTGTTATTTAAATATGAAGAAATCTGAAAAAAAATCATTTTTTGTTTAAAAGTCTAGTATGTTTTTTGCTCTCACACTTGGGATTTCTTTAATAGTTTCTATGTTCAGTTGGTTTTTGGCATCATTTGCTGCTTGTTTACCTTATAATTAGGCAGATTTCGATTCTACAACATTAATATTTTATATATTGTAGTACTTAAAAACAACACCAATATATTTTTATAACTGTATAGATTTGATAGAAGTTATTAATGCTCACATAAAATATAAAAAATATATAGGTGTTAAAAGTACAAAGATTGACTATTTATAATTAAATCCAGTATCTGTAGGAGATATGGTAATGACAGAATTTGTATGTTTTGATAAAACAGGTACAATTACAAATGGAGAATCTAGAATTCATGCAATAATAGTAGAAGATACAATGTATAAGTTTAATTACAATAACATGATAAAGAATTAATGGAATACATTTAAAGATCATCTACAAAATTAGATAAAGAATGATCCAAACTTTTAGATAGAAGAGATTGATGAATCGGATATAGAAATTCAATCAAAGAAAGTAAGACATACAGGAATATTTAAATTAACATTATAACATTGGAATTCTAAAAAGATGTCTAGTTGTGAATTTATCAAATCAGAATTAGCATCAAGTAGGAGTATAGCAAATCCATTAGATGATGTTGATATAGAGATAGAAAATATGAAATTGGAAGATTTTGATGATAGTCATTATAGAGTAACACCTGAATTGAGTAAAGCTAAGCCGAAACCTTTTTTCAATAAAAAAGCCATAGCCACTGCACCAGTATAAATGGTTGCTTAAAGTTAGGGAGGTATAAGTCATTCTCAAGAAGAAGAATTCCTAATAAAATAATAATCTTAAAAAGAGGAGTAGAGATCTTTTGATAATAATAATAAATCTATTAAAAGTAAAAAGTTTTTAGAGCATTCTTCATCTGATATGAAAAGATAATACAGTGCAAAGAGATCATTTTAGATGGATAAGGTGGCTGAAGAAGATATTGAAATAGTTTTTCATGGAGAGAATGAATTCTATAAACATCTAATTCATGGTTAAAATAAACTAGTATATTAAGAATCACTTTTATAACTTTTACTCTGCTTAGAAATAGTCTCTAGATATTCTCCAAGTGAAGATCAATTTATGCATGATTCATCATAATACTCATTTGATTAAGAGGTATTAAGATTTGTAGGCTAACTTGATATTAAATTCTTATGTTGTAATGAATTTAATGGAAAAGTTATTTATATTGTTGATTTTTTTGGAGAAGTAATGGAGTTCTAAGTTATGGCTACTTATAATAATGGAAATAATTAATTAGGAGTGCTTATCCTCTATCCAGATAAACTTTAAGAGAGATTTATGCTCATTAATGAAAATGATCCAATGGAAAGTCTATAATATGTATTTATAATGAGGGAAGAAACAAATTAATTACCTGTAAATATTGATGTCGATAAACCAAATAGAGAATATTGGGATAAAGTATTTTAAAAATTACACATGGGTGGAATGAGATCTGTGATATATTCAAAAGTATATCTAAAAGAATAGGATGCTAGTATATTTTTATCTAGATTCTAAGGAGAACTAGGAATGTCAGCATTTTAATAAATTTCTAAAGATATGTAAATTGTGCAGGTTGTTGGAATAAAAGAATAAATTAGAAAAGATACAAAAATATTGATAAATCAGATGAAGGCTGCGGAACTTAGTCTATATCTTTTAAGTGGAGATGAATTAAGTAGAGTTTTACCAATTGCATTCAAATCTAAAATACTAAACTAATACGATACATTGTTGTATCTAGATAATGATAATGCTAGAGTTGTTATGAAGAATCATTTGACCATCCTTTCTCAATCCTTAAAATTAGAAGAATCCTGGGGTTCAAAACCTATGAGAATGAGTACTCTAGATAAACATCATCGTACTCTAACTATTGAAGAAAAACAAGCTACCTATCCAGAAGTTAAGTCATTTAGTATCATTTTGAGTGGAGAGTATTTCAATCTTATATTACAGGATAGTTATTTATTAAGCCATTTCTAATTTCTTCTTTACTTTTGTAATTCTTTAATTGCATATAAAATGGATTAAAAGTAAAAAGCTACTATTGTTTAAATCATTTAGACTCAATTCATTGGGAATAAAAGAGTTTTAGCAGTTGGTGATTCTTATAATGATAATTACATGTTTTGTTAATCTAATATTGGAGTTTAATATTGCCATTATCCTATACAACTATAATAATATCAAAGAGGAGGCACAAAGTTAAAACTCAATCGTAAAGTCACTTCAAATAAATCTTTAGATAATCCATTAAATCGAAAATTCTTATAAAATGAAATGTGGGTTGTTCCAACTACAGACATATGTCTCAAAAATTATCTTGATTTAAGTGGTTTAATGTTTTTTGAAAGTAGAATCTTTGCTGAAGTCTATGATGATTTACTAGTCTTTTCTTTCTATAGATCCTTACTTATCATTTACATTTTATTTTTTTCATATGCAAGCTATTGTAGCTAAAATCAAACTATATTTACAGGAGTTTGGTTAACTGTTTATCAAAGTATTTTGCTTTTCATACAATAAATAGTAAGTTTAAAATCAAAATTTGATAAATAGTATGATAAAGATTCAATCACATATATCGAACAATTTAAATGTAATGTAAAGATTTTCAAAAAAAAGAAAGTATTGTCATTCATTTTTAAAATTAATGGAAATGCTATGTTAGATGCTGCATTATTCTACTAATCTTTATAGATTATTGATGAAATTTAATTTGATACCTTTAAATAAATGTTATTGATTCTTTTAATCTTAAGTGATATTGTAAAATTAGTTGTATCAACAAACTACACCAAACATACTTGGATTGTATTTATTTTTACTTATTTAATATGTTGGTTAATGACTTCCATTTTATCTGCCTATTTTTAGAATATGGATAGTTTTACAGAATTGTTTACAGTGCCTTCAACATGGCTGGCATTTATATTTTATGGTTTTTCCTAATTCTGTCTTAGTAGCATAATTGAGTATATTTAGCCATTATTTTGTTAATCTCTAATTGATTAAGCTTAATATGATTAAGTTTAGAATTATATTTATAAGTCTCAAAAAAATGGAGCAAAGCGATATCATAATCTTATCAAAAGATTTGCTTAATTAGCAGGAAAGGTTTTTAAGAAAAATAAAGATGAAATGGATATATCTATTTAGGATATTATTTGTGAATTAAAAGTTAATCAAGATAGAATCAATAAATTTACCTTAAGATTTTTAAACAAAGATACAGAAATGAAATTTAAAAGACTTTCAAAACTTAATTGGTTTAAATTTGAGAGAATTAAACTTGGTTTATCACTAATTTTTTTGGAAGTTTTTGCTTTATTAATATATTCTCTTACTCATGGAGAAGAAATTTAATCTTAAACTTATTTTATAATATACATCCTTAGTATAAGCATTTAAGTGATAGTACAAATAATGACATGTTCAGGAATGTATTTGAAACACTTTTTTTAAATAAATCTAATAATTGCTAGTATTCGGTTACTTACAAAAATGATTTCAGACCTTGAACAAGAAGGTACATATATTATTCTTTTAAGTTAATGTTATATATTAATAATAATATTTTCAAGACTGCATATACCTTTATTAAATTTTACAATAGCTACTTTGTCAATAGTTGGATTCTTAAAGAATTATAGTATGGGAATAGATTATTATCAAAAAATAAATGGAGTTTTAATAGTTTTAATTACATTAATATTTTTTATATCTCTATAGTATAAGTTGCATATGATGGAAAGATAAGATTTTTTATTGGCTGCAACTTTAAATCAAGAAACAACATCAATGACTAATGTATTATCGATTTTATTACCAAAATTTATAAGAGATAGAATAAATGCAAGTATATAGAAATTAATAAATAATTTTAGAGGGAGTATTTGAGATATAGGAGAATTAAGGAGAAGTTTCAATTTTATTTTGTGATATATGTGGGTTTGATGATTTAATAGCAGTAGAGAAAGAAAACATTGTTAATTTATTAGATAGTTTATTCAGAGGATTTGATGGTTTATGTGTATCAAATGGAATGTAAAAGATAGAAACAGTTGGAAAGACATTTATGGCAGCAGGAGGTTTAAAAGCAGTTGATTAAGGAACAAAGTACATAAATTAGAGTGCAGTAAAGAGAGTATATATATTAATAATATAAAGGCTGTTTAATTATCTTTAGAAATGATGGAATACTCTAAAAAATTTAAATTTGGATAATCAGGTAATGTTAAAATAAAGATTGGAGTTCATTATGGTCGTGTAATTGCTGGTGTTATAGGTCATCATAAACCTTAATTCTCATTAATTGGTGATACTGTTAATACAACAAGTCGAGTATGTTCTACTGGTTAAGATGGAGAAATAACATTATCTAATGAAGCATATATGGAACTTAATATGCCAGATTTATAATTCAATTAAATTAAAGTAAATGCAAAAGGTAAAGGAGAATTAATTACTTGGTAAGTTGTCACTTCAATCAAAAGAAATACTGATAAAAAAGTTAGAAAGAAGAAAGGACTTGTTCCAAAATTTGATTCATCATAATCAGATTTACCAACCTTAACTAAATTAGATCCTGTTACTCCGAAAACTGATTTTAGATAATTGAAAGTTCCTTAACAGATTAAATAACTTGACATTTATCCAAATGAATCAAATGGTAAAATGGAAAAAGATTTTAATTCTGAAAACAACACAACTAGTTTTAGTCTTCTTAAAGATTCTTTATAATCAAAAGATATTCGTCCTATAAGAAAAAGAGGACAAAGAGGACCTACATTAATTATGAAAGCATAAGATGCTCAAAAAGTTGTAGGTCCTTTATAATTATAACACTCTACTAGTTAAAATAATATTTAACATTCAAGTAATAAGAATCTTCCTCCTATTGTTGTTTATTAAGCTGAAGAGAGTGCTCATTCTAATAATTTAAAAGATGAATCTTTTTTTGAAAAAAATCAAACCAATCTCCTACATGATTTATCATAAAAATTAAGAAGAGACCTTTATATTGAAATACTTGATGAAGCACCAGATTATGAAGTAGAAATTGAAAAAATATAATTTGATGAAGATGAATAATTTAAGAGTGAAGATTTATAATTAGAAAGAAGTAGGTTCTATCTTGATTTTAAAGAGAATTAAAAAGAATTAGCATAGGAATTTATGGATTAAAAGGAAGGTATCAATATTGTATTTATGCTATTTCTCCATTTTCTTTAATTTTTATCAAAAACACTCACTCTTTTATTTGTATAACATTAAGAAAATTGGATATCTGTTTTTGTTATACGATTCGTAGCATCAATATTATTATTAACCTTAGCTATGTTGTAAAATAAAAAATTAAAGCATAGATTTTATAAATATTAATACTTCTTAATAACATACTTTGGCATATTAATTAGTATTCTTTTAGAATTTATTCTCATGCCTGAAAAATCAGTAGAATTATAAGCAGCAGAGGGAATTTTATTAATTTGTTTCTTTTGTTCACTATCAATTATTAAAATTAAATACAAGGTTTATTTTAATCTTTGTCTCTTTATTGTTTAATTATTGATAGTTTTAATTCTTTATAAAGATTTAGCTATAGCATATTATACTATTTTTTAAAGTTGCATGACATTTATAGTTTAATATCATTTATTTTTCTAAGATTTAGGTACATTCAATAATAAGAGATCTTTAGAATTAAAAAAATTATAAACGTAAAATTTAGTTAAGTATCTCTTACCTACTCATATATTAAAATAATTTTTATCTAATAGTAATCAAAGGATGGTATTAGTAGATCAATTTGAGGATGCAACTCTATTATTTGCAGATATTGCTGGATTTACTGAATATTCTAGTAAAGTAGAGCCAGAATAGGTTGTCAATATGTTGAGAAACTTATTTACTGAATTTGACAAAATATGTTTAAATTAAAATGCTTATAAATTATATACAATAGGTGATTGTTATGTTGCATTTGGAATAGTTGATGTTACATAAAGGAATCCTCCTTAGGAAGCAAAAAATGTTGTAGAATTAGGATTTAAAATGATTGAAATAATTAGATAAGTTAGATCAATAATAGGATTTGATGGATTAGATATGAGGATTGGTATACATACTGTAACTATTTTATATAATTTTAGGGTAAAGTGATAGGAGGAATATTAGGAACAGAAATAGTTAGATACGATGTTTATGGAGCTGATGTTATGATTTCTAATAAAATGGAATCAAATGGTGAAAGAGGTAAAGTTTAAGTATCAGAAGAAACTAAATAATTACTTGAACAATCTTATCCAGATTAATTTTTATTTTCTTTTAATAAAGAAGTTGAATTCAAATCTATTTTTAGAAAAACTAAAGGATATTTTATTGATCCGATAAAAAATGATAGCGATCAAGATTTTGATGATATGAATCACTATTAATTTGTCAAAGATTTAGAATAATATGAAAATGGAGTGCAATGACCTTTTGATCCTAAAATAATTATTTAGAATTGATTTATGTATTCTAATAATTTTTATTATAAATTTTCAATTTTCTTCTTATACAATTTTTATTTATTGTTTGGTTTTCTTTTTCTCTGAATTCTCAATAAATTTTGCAATTCTCTATTTCAATTCAGGTTATTCAATAACCATCTCAATTGTTAATGGAGTTCTATCAAATGGATCAATCTATTAATTTAATAGTTACTTTTTTATTGTCAATCTATCTACAATTACCTAATTTACTATAATTTATAATTACATTAGAATGTGGTAATTTAACTGGATCTGTCATTAAAGAATAACATAAGGGATCCAAAAATTCGTCAGGAACATCATCTGGTAATTAATTTATAATTTTCTCTTCATATTCTTGAAGTTTAAATATTAACTCTCTAAACAATTATATTCTTTGATATGGAATTATTTAATGTTTGTCTAATAAATTGATGGTCACTTAAAATAATTCAATAGAAAAACACCTATGATAATTAATATATTCTCACCTATCATCCTTAACTACTTACATTAAAAATTAATCATTAGAACTGAAATTTAGGTATAATTCTATCACATTTCCCATAATTAATTTCGGATCAAAATTTACAGATCCTAATGATTATATTTTATATTGAGCAGCTTATTTTCCATTTAATTGTTCTAAGGTGTAATTTAAATTATTTGCTAATTTATCTCTAATTTCATCAGTCAAAAATGCTTCAGGTTAAACTTCACTAAAAACTTAAATATTATTATAATATTCTTATAAAAATATAGATAATGTTTTTAATTCTTATTAAAGTTTGAAATAATCTTATTATTATTCCATATCTCTTTATTATGATTCTAAACTTTTCATTTTCTTGATCTTAGTAAGACATTCATCTAATAAGAAAATCATATCATTTAAATAATAATTAGCAAATGCCAAAAACATTTCTTTTTCTTTTTCAACAGTTTAAGATAATAATAGATTATATCTATCTTTATGTTTTTCAAGTAAAAATCTAATTAATTTACAAAATCTGTATCTAAAATTAAACTTTTCATAAAATTAATTACCCTCACCTGTTCTTTCACAATCTATGAATACCTTAAGTAATCCACTAATCATATGTTTTTCAATTATCTCATTGTTTCTAAATATAAAATCAAAAGATTAAGTTTGAACAATACCTCTTTTATTCATTTTACCCTAATCAATAATATGGAAAACTTCTATTCCCTTTATTCTTAAATGTGGATTTGTAATATTTCGAGTATCCATAGCAAAAATAGCAAACTCACAACATTTTTCAAATTCATAAGGTTGTTTAAGAATTTCATCATTATATTTGTAAGTATTAAAGAATGAATGAATATCATTAACAAAACTAGAAGGTAATAAACCATAAGGATATTTGGGTTTATTATTTTCATCAATCATACTCATAGCAAGTTGACTTGAAAAACTTAAAAATTGCATTGTATATGTTATTGTTTTAGGATCCAAAATTTATGTATCAAATGATAATTTCAATTATAAAATTTCTTAAAATTAAGTAGACTTTTGACCATATTATTAGGCAATATCACTCATTTTAGTTAAGATTCTATTATAATAAAATTAATCAATAATTGTAGAAATAATATGATTTATTCTTTAAGTTAACAAAAACATAGTTGTCATAGGATCCACTTTTGTTTCAAGTTCTAAAAGTTCTTATGCTGGTGTTAAATCAGGTGCAAGTAAATCAATATTTTAATATATTGTTGAAAATAAAGGATGATCCTTTAAAATAAGAAACATTTATAATTAAATGTTTTTAATCCTTAAATCTATTTTACCTTAATCATCAATCCAAGGATTAAACATTTTAAGTAATACATAATGTAAATTAAATACCATTCCAGGAGTGCAACATTATTACATCAATCCTTAATTTAATATTTTTTCTAAATTAAGATTCAAAGCAATAATATTAGAAATAAAATTATAAAACATCATTTTAAGAACATTAGATTTATGGCTCAATATTTTTGTAAATAATTTACATATTTCATCATTTAAACTGAATATTTTTCTTCTATATTGATCTCTCATTATTTTCATAGAATTGTAATCACCTAAAAACTTATTTTTAGCAATTAAAGAATCAGTATAAAACAAACTACCACTTAACATCTTTCCAATAATACAATTATTTTAGAATTGTTATCCAGATTACATTAATTTAAATTTTCCAAAAGCCCAACTGTTCATTAAAATAATCTCCATAATATTTGGGTAATTTGCAATCAATAATAATAACTTAAGAGTTTATGATGATTATTCTAATAAATCAAGAGACCAATTACTCAGATCTTTAAATTCTCTTTTAAACATTAAATCCAAAAATTTTTGAATATCATCAGAACTAACTTTAGTATTAATATAATCTAATAAATTTTATATAACTCCTGAATAATCTAGTTGTAAATTAGAACTAAATATTCTATTATAAAAAACAGTGGCTCTTTAATTCCTATAATCATCCACTCTATTTGGATCTTCATCAAACTTATCCCACTCTAAACCTTCTGGATATAAAATACAAGTTATTAATTATCCTTATAAATAATGTAAAATCTCATCATATTTTCTTTTTTCAATAATACCTTCATCTAATTTAATAAATTATTCTTAGATTTGTACTTCTCCCAGATTTATAAGAACTTCTATTAGAAATTCGAATTTCTCTGATTCTCTAAATTATGAACATGTTAAAAATGTATAGCATAATTCATCGATAATATATTGAATAGATATACATTAATCTTAAGAAATAAAGTCAACCTTTTAGTTGTTAATAACCTAATTTTTTGCATCAATTTTAAATATCTTTGAAAGCCAAATATGTTCTATTTCTTCTTAACTTAATTGAATAAATTCATTGCAGGGCTCATTTATTTGATTTTCAATATTTTAATCAATATATTCATCTTATATTTGTTATTATATTATTTCTTATTTTATGATTTACTAGGAACTACTTTAATCAATCATCTATTATTCTTTAATTTAATCTACTTAATTAATCTATTATTATTATTGTTGCTATTATTGTTCATGTTATAATAAACTAGATGTTTCCTAAACATTAATTAATTATTCATCATTCTTTTCAGATCCAATTTACTAATAAGCTTATTCCTACTTTTTGGCCCAATAATCTAGAGCTGCTTAAGTGCTTTTTTATGATTCTTATGACTCATTTTTTGGTTATGAAGATGAAGATGAAGATTATCCCATTAAAATTATTTATTAATATTTCTATCTAATTATTACCCCTAAATAAATCACACAAATATAATTTTATTTATACTAATTGTAAGGATCTTTCTTTTGACTATAAATCCTCTAAATTTTAGTATCACCTATTGATTTTAATATTAGAGTACTATTTTAAACAATTTCATGGAATAATTGTTTTTATGTTGAAGTTCATTCCTTCTAAATTTACTAATTGTATGATTTCTTTTTCATGAATAGCTTCTGCTGAAATATTTTCTTATTGAAACATTACTATTCTAAAATTAGATAGTTTATTATTCTATACATTTCTGGTGCACTTTTTAATAGTTTGCATCGAAAATATATCAATAAATAATTATAGAATTAAATAACATGACTGAAATCCTTTAACTTTATCAGAATTATTTTTTCATCTAAATTTTTATTTGCTGTTGAATTCTGTTACAAAAATAAAGTTATCAATCTTCTATACTTTCTAAAGAATCAATCACAAATTTTATTAATGATTAAGTATTTATCAATTTCTCAACTTTATACGAGTTTTTATTTTTTCATATATATTTAAATATCCTGTTTTTGCTTTATATAAATAAAATTTACAAACAAAAATATAGCAAATATGATAATAGAATCATGCAAACCTATTCAATATAAAAACGATCAATTCTTTCTCATACTTAACATTTCTAAATTCATAATTAGTTAAATATTGTATTAATCTTATCTATCATTATTCTTACAATACAATAATGAGAATTTTAAGAATTACACTTCTTATTTTAATTATCTATTCTATCAACATCACCTCCTTTCAATTTTTAGCCCCAAAAAGCACCATTTCAATATCTCATTCCTAACTTTAATACCAAACATTTTTTCATTATTTTTTTGATAATGCTGAAAAACTTATTTTATTGTAGAATGTTTTTTAAAGAATTTCAAATTATCAAAAAGAATTTTTGATTGTGTGGGTTTATATTCTAAAATATTTGCTTGATACTCTTGTGTAAAATATTTTAAAAGATAACCAGATTAACCAGTATACATATATTGATTATATGGTCGATAAATGTTGAGATGAGAATTGTCTAAATATATAACTAATAATTCATTTCGGAAGCTATTATATTTGTTTTTTGAGTAAGAATATATTAATTATTAGATCTTTGATAATTGGCTGAAAAGAAAAAAGTTAAAAAGTACTTAAGTCTTCTAACTTTAATTTTAGTTATTTTTTATTTCCTAATATCAACAAATTTGACATATTTTTACATTCAAAGAGTGAAAATTTGTATAATTGTTCCAGTTTCATTGTTTTCTATAAAATAAATATCTATTACTTCATTAAATTAAATTATTATAAAATGATAATAATATTTTGATAATATTCAACAGCATCCCGATTAATTAGAGTCTTGGTGTTGTTATTATTATGGAGACTATCCTTCAAATGATTCATTTTTATTAGAAGACTTTATTATATTAATTGGATCGGCAGATTTTTTGTTAACTTTTGTAGCTTGTCTAAAAGAATCGCTACTAAAATATTTTAGTAGTACTAATTTAGCTGTTTGTATAAATGCCTAGTGTAACATTAAAAAAACTATATACTTCATCTATATTTTCTCCAGTTTTTGCTGATGTTTCAAAAAATAAACTAAAATTATTATTATTCATTAATGACTCAGCTTCTTCTTTTTGAACTTCTCTTTGTAAATCGCATTTATTCCCAACCAAAACCTTTATAATCTCAGAATGTGCATGATATTCAATTTCATTTAACCAGATTGACAATTAATCAAATGATTCTTTTAAGTTGACACTATATACAATGAATACAGCAGCAGCTCCACGATAAAAACTTCTAATGACACTTCGAAACTACTCTTAACCAGCCTAATAAAAATATAAAATTCCTTATAAATACTGTATCCCATAATTAGATTTCAATCAAACCTTTATCAACTTGAACAAATTTTTTAATGAATTCTACTCCTATTGTTGCCTTAATATTGTAGTTAAACTCTTCATTTTTATAGCGTTTAACAATCGAGCTCTTTCCAACAGCTATATTTAAAAATTCTTAAATACATTAATCACCAATAAGTATGAATTTGAATAAAGGAACCTTTTCTTTACTTAATTCTAATTGTTAATTTTGATTCATTAGAAAATCTAAATTAATAATAAACTCTTTTTATTGTATAATAGAGTAGCAAAATTGATATAATATCAAAATTTAAACAAAAAGTTATTCTGAAAATATTTTTACACAGAAAATAATTTTTATTGTTAAATTAAAAATTTATATACATATTTATTATGCAATTTCATTTAAGGCATTCCTCTTTCATAGAGAACTTTCTAACTCAATTTGATCCAGAGAAGTAAAATTAAGTTATTGAATTCTTAATCACAATGGGAATAGATTTAGCAAATAAAACAGGAACAAGAAATGCAAAAGAATTATACTAATTATTAAAATAACTTTCAAGTACATATAAAATAATAAATTAAAGAAAACATCAAAGAACAAACGTAAGGGGATATAAAAAATGAAATAAAAACAATTTAGAAATAATTGAGAGACTTGAATGATCTAATTTAAATATCCTAAAGAGAGAATAGAAATGTTTAAAGAACACATAAAAAATAATAATTTAATAAGAGTCACTCAAATAGGTATGAATAGTATGAAGACAATCATATCCAACCACCTAATTATTAGAATACATATTAAACATACAATACATAGAGATCACAATCAAAGTCTCCAGTATAATATAGTGATCATACACCTAATAAGTTAAAGCATTCTAGATCGCATTCCCAGAGAAATCTAACTCCAAAAATAACTGAATCTCCTCCTCCCCCATAAATTGTATACATTAATAAAATAAAAAACAAATATGATATTAAACCATAATTTGATGATAGATAAATGTAAGAATTCAATCTGTTTTTAGTAAAAAATTAATGTATGGAGATTAAAAATACTAAGACAGAGGTAGATATTTTGGTAAAAGTCCTTCACCTTAACAATTGATATACTCATCTTAAACTAGTGGAGGTTTATCATATAGACAATATCCTATATAAATGATTCCTCCTCATTAATCTGATAAGTAGAGATAGAATAATACTTCACCTAAAAAATTACCTGTCTATCTTCAAAATGTAGAATCTAAAATTAAACCTTTGGTTGATTAAGATAAACTCTAATATAAAGAATCTTAAAGAGATAGGGATAATAAAAATAAAAACTTAGATGGCACTGTAAAAAAATTAAATAACAATTCTTTGCAACAATAAAATAGTGCTGAAACTGATACATTCTTTGATATACAACAATATATATAGGATTAAAAGAAATATTAATTTTCTCCAGTTTAAGAAATGAATGATGATGGAAGAAATGAAGATGATGAAGCAAGTGACGACTCATTTTCTAATTTTAGTCCACCTAATGAAGAAGTAAAAGAATTCTTTTAATAAGAATATCTTTAATAACGTAGATGATATAAGATTATTTAATTTCTAATTATTATTCATTAATTAGTTGCTCTAGATAAAACATCATAAAACTAATCTTTTGTCACATACCCTTAACTAATTATAATTTATTTAATTTCATCTACCTTGGATTTTTACTATTAGCTTCCTAAATCATTAACTTTAATTCATCATCTGACATTGTTTCACCTAATTCAAGAGCTACTTTTTTTAAGTTTTCGAATGTAATGAAATTATCATTGCCCTGAGAAAATAAATGAAAAGCTCTCTCTATTTCTTCTTATGATTCTTTTGCATTCTAAAAATTGTTAAAATTTAAATGTGTATACCATTTTTTCTGTCATTATTTGAAGAAACTCATTAAAATCAATTGTATTTTTATTTTCCTTTGAATCATTATTATTGTTAAGGTTTTATTTTAAATTTTAAATTTCCTCTTTACCTGGTTCAAAACCTAATGCACGTAATGCAACTTTTAATTCTTTTTCATCAATAGTGCCTAATAATTATATTTGATAACAACCTGATCCATCTACATCAAATAAGTCAAAAGCTTCTTTTATATCTTTCTTTTATTTTTCACTAAGCTCTTAACGGAATGAATGACCTGCTTTTGCTTTCCGTTATCCTTTTTTTGCTTTTCCTTACATTTAATTTATTATTAAGATGTTTATATTAAAATATTAATAATTTGATGAAAAAGAAGATTTTATTTATTGAAGTTTGTTATAAAATTTCAATTAGTTTTTTTTAAATTTCATATCTTTTCTAGTTAATAGTTTAAATTAAATCTCTAAGAAAATAGAATTTCTAATAATAACTTTTGGTATTTCGAATTTCTATGTCTTGTATATGTATCCTACAATTTCCAATCCTCTTTTAATTACTAAATTATGGAAGAATAAGTAAAATCATTTAAAGGAGCATAGGCAGTAGAATTCGGAAAAAATTTGTAAATCAAAGAAATATAGATTCCTAAATTAAAATAAGATGAACTATTAGTAAAAGTTGAGGCAGCCATAATCATTATTTTCATAAATTATTTCTTAACGCTAAATAAAATGCTTGTTTTGGATTTCCTTAAAATTTATACTTTTTTAATATTATATCTAAAATTTCAAACACGCCTATTATTTATCAAATAAAATTCTACAATTATTATGTTTATTTTATCATTATGCTTTCCTCTTTGAAATATAACTCCAAAATACAATATTTTTTTTGATCTCCTTTTCATAATTACTTCTTCATATTTATTTAACATATTTTCCTATTGTATTTAGTTAAAAGACATCATTTATTCATTAACATATTTATATATGAATATGATTATATAATTTAGTCTAAAAAGAATTACATATAGTCATAATTCAACAAATTATTAAATTTTTCTAGGTCTTACTTTTGGTATTGGTCTTTCCACTATAGGAACAATTTCCTCTTATTTTTAATCTTATTCTACCTCTATACCTAATATTTTTCTTTCTAGAGCTCTCAAAAATATTGAACTCAATTTCCCAGGAGTAGCTCTGTTTTTTAAGCTTTATTCTATATTCGATTAGGATTATTATTTCACTGTATCAAAACTAGTTGAAAATGATATTTATTCAGGTATTAATTTATTTTCTATCAATATCTTATCAATAATTTAGGTTTCAATTTATTTAGAAGTAGTGATTTCTTGTTCAACCTTTATTTCCTTATTTTATATCAACATTTCATCTATAATTTAGGTTTCAATTTATTTAGATGTCATAATTTCTTGTTCAACCTTTATTTCCTTATTTTCTATTAACATCTCATCTATAATTTAGGTTTCAATTTAATTAGATGTAGTAATTTCTTGTTCAACCTTTATTTCCTTATTTTATATCAACATCTCATCTATATTTTAAGTTTCAATTTATTTAGATGCAATCATTTCTTATTCAACCTTTATTTCTGCAAAATTACTCTTTTCTACACTTTCTTTTTTATTTTCAACAACCTTTTCTTCTTTTTGACATTAATTTTCGTCTTTATCAGGAACAAGATTATTATTTTCTACAACTTTCTCTTATTCTATCACTTATGACTCAATCATTGGTATATGTACTTCTGAATTTACTACTTGAAATAAAGGTGTCTTTTTCTAATTATCATTTTATTCATCATTATTATCAATTTATTTGTTTTCCTTATATTCTTATATAACTTCTATTATTTCTTCATCTTTAATATGACTTAGCCTTTTTTTCCCATCTTAAATGCTTTTTCGATTTGAAACTCCATTCATTTATCCTATTGAAGAATTTTCAGGGTTCCTTAAACTGCAACAATCTTATCCCATTTTAAGTTTCTTTATTAAATTTATAATAAAAAATATATCAAATTTTATTATTATTCATAAGAAAATTAATACAATTAAAAAATAGAAAAGGAAACAATGATGATTTTCATTAATTAAATATTTCTAAAATATTAAGAACTTTAATTATTATATATTAATATATAATTAATTTTTAAATTTCCTAAACTTCATCTATAATTTTTAGATTTGTATTATTATTAAATTTTGCAACTCATTTAAATATAAAAGAATTCGTTTAAAATATGCAAAATAAGACTTTGCTTATCTTGAAAAAGAATCGATTAAGTGATAAACTGATGTTTTACTTGCAAATATTGTACTGATATTTATATTAATTCCTAATAATATTTATATATATTGAAAGAATTGCAATTAATTTTCAATGAATTGATAATATATACCAGTATCGGAAATTTTCGATTTTAATATTCTAGAATTTTCATATCTAATTACTCATATTTTTTTAAATATTTTACATTAGAAAAATAATGCCATAAATTGAAGAATAAAAGGTTCGATCAAAAGTACAAACCTTAATGATAAATTTAAATATTGCCTTGGGATCACTAAATATTGGATACGTTGTAACATACTTAACTTTATCAATTGATACCTTATTTGCAGTACTGTAAGAACTATATATATAATTAGTGATATAAAAGATGAAGAAAGAACAGAAAAATTAAGTTTGTTAGCTGGAATTCTTCCATTAGGAAATGTTGCAGGTGTTTTTATTGGATAATTGTTAAAATAAAAATTTACTAATAAATAATGTCTTCATATTGCAGATTTAATCGGAATAACAAGTTTGTTAGCAGTTATAGCAAACTATTATCTAATAGTCATCATCAGATTTTTTCTAGGAGTGTCTAATGGAATATCAAGTTATTTGATGCCAGTGTATATAAAATCAATATGTCCTCAACAATATTTCAGTTAGTTTAGTATGTTTGTAGGATATGGAATAAATACAGGATATGCAATAGGATAACTGATGGGTATTGGATATATAGAGTATTAACTGAAATCTTTAATTTTTAGTTATTCAGGTGCATCATCGAATTGGTGGAGAGTAGTGTTCTTATTCCCAACAATTATTTGTATTATTCGTTCATGTATAATGTAATTCATCTACAATTATGACAGTCCTGAATAATTAATTTAGAAGGGAAACATTTCATAAGCAAAATATGTATTTAGATATTGTATAAATATAGGTTATTTGTTAAATCTATAAAGATTAATATGTAGATGAATAATTTGAAAGATACAACAAAATGGCTACTGAACAATAATAATAAATAAATAGATCCTTATGGAATGTTTTTGAAAGAAAAAAGTTGATTACATTATAGGCTGGAATTGTGACAGTATATATCACAACATAAAAAATTAGATGTTGGTATAAATATGGTGTGGAGTCTTTGCAGTATTTTATTATAGTGCTTAAATATTTGCAGATATGGCTGATGATGACGTTGTCTAAAAAACTATATATACCTTTTGTTTAGGATTATCAGGATTTGTGGCTTAATTTTTTACTATTTATATGGTTAATAAATTAGGGAATAAATATATATTACGTAATATATATAAATATCTAATAGTTATTGGATCTTTTATTATTGGATCTCTCAACCTAGCAGTTTCCATTATTTCAAGAAATGTTACTCCTGAAAATGAATTCGCTATTTTTATTCTTTTATTACTTTTAGTCATGACTTTTGGATCTACTTTATGTCCTGCTGCATGGGTATATATAAAGTATATATTATTTAGAGTATTGTACCATAACTTAATGATAGTGATGGAACATTCATTGCAACTGAATTTAGATGGGCATTTCAGGCTATCGTAGTATTCTGTTTTCCTTTTATGGAAAAAAATCTTAAAATATTTGGTGCTTTTCTATTCTTTGCTATAATTGACTATTTATATTTTATTTATTGTCACTTCTTTTTGATTGATGGCAGAGGAAAAACAAATGAATAATTAATAGCAGCTTATCATTAAAAATTTGGGTATTCAGTTATTTCTGAATCAACTAAATAACAACAAAACCTAAAGACTGATATATAATAACCTCAAGATTTTAATTAATAACTTAATAGTAAGGAAATAGTAAAAATGAAAATGAAAAATGATTAAGTAATTTCTTATGATTGAAATTTATATAAGAATTATATCAACATATACATAGATGAACTAAAAATTAAAATCAAATTAAATATTATAATTAAAAATAGATAATTTGTTTAAATTTGATATTTTCGAAATCTTATCTTGAGTAATCAGCTTTTTGTTAAACAAGAATTTTAAAATTCAATGCTTTTATTAATTGAAATGCAAAGTTTCTTAAAAAACAGAATCAATATCATCAAGATCTGTTACATTTACATTTCAATCTATTGAAGAATTTTCCCTAATCTCATATGTTATTCTTTTTCATAAAAAGAACTAAGAAGGTATTTGCTACATCAACATAAACATTCTTATAAGTCTTTTAATTCATTGTTGATAAACTATTAAAAAAAGTTTCAATGTACCTTTTTGAAGCCAATCCAATTTCTGAAGATGAAATAGTTTATAGCAATATATACTTTTACAATTTTTAAAAATTCATACTTGCAAGACCTTTTTTTTAAAATCGAATATGAGTAAAATTCTAATTTGACATATTTCATTTCTAAATTGTAATTAATATTTTTTTAAATAATTATGTTTATTTTTTTTATTATATTGCCATTAAGAGTTTCTGAGAATGAACTACTTAGATTCATTAAATATACTTATTAAAAATAAAAGTCTTAGTAATAATTTTTTTTCCATAGTTTTTAATTAGAGATACATAATTATGAATATGGTTAATATAAATAGTATGAAAGAATATTAATTATTATTATATTTTTGTTAACTAAAAAATTGAACTGATGACAAAAATTTGCTTAAAATTTTTAGCTTTTTAGTGCATGGTGGTCATGTAAATCATGCAACGTTAATGAAATAATAGTCGAAATTAGAATATCTTATTTGTATAAAAATTACATAATTAAGCACTGAAAGTTTAGTTATCAATAGAATTAAATTAAAATCTAAAAAGAGAAAAACAAATTATATATTGTATTTTAATCTAAAGTCTCTAACTTGATTGAGAAAAAATAAAAAATTAAATATTTCAATTATAAGCTGAGAATTTTTAGAAATTTTATTTATAAATTAAAGAATCAATAGAATTTTGCTATAATGGAAGTATTTGAATAAAAAAATGATTTGTAAAAATTTTAATATTGTGAGAGAATCTTAATCAAGAAATTGGTTAAATTTTAAAAGAAATAAAAGATGAAATTGATATTTAAAATTGCCCTGTTCATTTAACAAAATAACAAGAAATAAACTTATTATTAGATTCTTAAATAATAAATTAAACAATTAATTTTCTATTAATGTTCCTTAAAAGTAATATATATAATTTATTTTTCTTTTTGTGTTCTTAAGAAATGAAATTAGGTTGATATAACGAATGATGATTCAAAAAGTTTAAATTTCAACAATTATCTAGATAAGAAACAAAAAAAAGAATCTGTCTTAATAGTTATAATCAAGAAGAATGAAATTTATTCCATTTATATTTACCATTAAAATCAATATTAATATTAAAATTAAATTGTAATGGAACAGCATAAATAATACTGTAAAATTTCGAAATAGGATAGAAGACAAATTATTCATGAAGTACTTGTAAATAAGAGATTAATACTTGAAGTAATTCATTTAAACATAATAGGTTGCAAGAGAATTCAAAGTATTGCCTTCCACATGCAAATCCATAATTAATACTTACATTAAAGAAGGAAGAATTGGGAAAAAAGAAAGAAGAATTAGAAAATTGAAAAAAGTAACGGCAATTTATACAATTACATTAAACCCATTAAATCCTCTTTCATCAACAATATCAACTGAATGTGAAATTGCTGAAGTAGAGCAACCTTCTCTCTAAAGCAATGCATAATAACAAGAAGTTCCTCAAAAAAAACCTTTTGATTTCTTAAGTTAATGGACTGAAAACTACATCCAATATTACAAAAAATACAAATTAGGAGCTAAATATCATTGAAATTTCCATTTAATAATAAAATCACATATATAGTAAATTCTAAAAAGTTCTCAATATTTTTGTTTTTAGAGTAAGTTCATTTTTCTTTCAAATTCTTCTTTTAATTGATTTTTTTTTTGTTCTACCATTGCTCTTGTTTCTCTCTCTTATTGTTATAATAATTATTTCTCCCTTCTAATATAATATATATTAAAAATTTACATCATTTAATCTAATTTATTCATTTTATATTCTGTCATAGATTTTTTCATATTCAAATTTTATTCAAATCTAACTTTAGCATAGTCTGCATTTGCTAATCCATTTTCTAAAGATGCTTTTTAAGAAAATAATTTATTATTTAATTTCCTTTCATTTTCTATTTAAATTTATTATGACAATGAATCTTTTTAATTCAATTTATTCATAGTCTTATAAATTCTTTCATCTAAAATATCTTATGCTTTTTTATAATTCGATTCATTTAATTCTTGTTTAATTTAAAAAGTCATTGATTTTTCAAGTTATTTTAAATTTTTTTCACTTTATAATTATGATAAATATTAGTCTTTACGTATTTATTAATAGTTAAATTGATCTACTTTATTTTATTAGATTTAATTAGCCTTTGTAATTGCTTGATCTACAGAATCTCTTAAATGAAGACTTCTTAAATTGGCTTTTTCTTCTCTTTTAATTTTAGACTCCTACAAAATTTATTGATGTATCTAATCTTAATTTTATAATCTTTATTCAAGACTCTGAATAATAATTACTCAATTACTTTGTTCTTCATTATTTATGATTCATCATATTTATCTCTGATTGTCGATATTTCTAATTACTTTAATCTAGCTTAAAAATCACGCTCTTATTTCTTTTCTTACCTCTATCCTATAATACTTGATTCTTTCTGTTTCATTCTGAATTCTTTCTCTTTATTTTTTTCAGCTACTTCATTTTACTTCTCAAGATATTTTATAAATTATGACAGTTCTTTATCTTGCTTTATTAATTGTCTTGAGTAATTTTATTCCTCAATTTTTAACATTTAATATGTATTAATATATAATTATAATTAATAATCATATTTTATTAAATAATTCTTTTAATGTCCCTTCTTTATGCATTTCCATCATAATATCACATCCACCAACTAACTCTTGTTTTACATACTTATTTACTAAATTAAAAATAATACTAATTATGGAAAAGTAGGCCAGTTTGAATATTTCTTGATTTCTTCTCTCATCAAAGGATCTGAAAGCACATCAATAGAATGATAATTTTAGACTTTATAAAATTAAAGAACCTAAACAGCATAATTTGAATAACCACACATTGGTTATGCAGGTGTTCCTTTCATAAATAACACTACTTGGTTTGATTTAATAATCTTAGAATAAATTATATCAATTTACATTGTCAATTTCTTTATGTTTTTATTATATCTATTCTTATGTATATTATGGTTAAGCCTTTTATTATGGTTAGAAGTCTGAATGAGAATGATTATTATCGTGATTATGATTATGATTATGATCGTGAGAATGATTATGATTATGTTAAGAAAATGGAGCTATCATTCTTGTTGTCAAGTATAATTTAGGCATTTTCAATATTTGCTTTGATATTCTTTAAATCATTAATAAATTAAATATTCTTGAAATTGTAATAATACTTAATTATCAACTTGATAAAAGGCAAATATTTCGAAATATTAATTAGCTGAAATATAATTAGAAATAGAGTAGAATTGAATTAAATATCATATGAATTATGTCTAAAGATTAAAATAAGTTAATAAAATATTATTTTAAAAGTTTTTGTCACTCAAACTAATTATTTATATTGTTCGATTCTAGATTTCTAAAAAGTATTTTAAATAAGTTACTAGATATTATATTGAAAGATCTTATTGCTTAAATAGACTTTCCCCCTAGTATATTGCTTTTGATTTCTATTTTTTTTCTTCAATTAATTAATTCATAACAGTTTAAATTTCTAGTCTTTATATATGCATATTAATTTACTCTAAATTCTTTGATTCTTTGATTTATTATACATCAGCATCATCTAACAAAGAGTCAAGTAGATGATTAATAGTTTGCATCTTAGGGCAAGGTACAGAACAGGATCGAATATGAAAAAATTTATGAGTAGTTTTAGTTTTATGCTTTATTTTAATCATTTCTGCAGCAGCAATACATTATTGAATAAGTTAATAAGTAGGATTATTACAAATATGGAGAGATTAATGAGTATTAATAAAACTTTGTGTATGTCTGCTTTACTTTCTAATCAATTTGATAGGAGATGGCTATAAATCTTTAGTAACTATCATATGCTATGATTTGCAAACTGATTTGTATTAGCCATTTAGATTTTTGACTTATAATTCAGGATTTACTGAATGTCTTTTTTTTATTTGCATAAGTTAATGATATATTATTTTCTAATAAATTTATTTTCAAGATCTTTTGCCACCTATTCCTTCCCAAAATGCCTACATATTCAATTTCCATTCTCCATTGGTATCAAATTCTCTCATTAAGTAATATTATTCTTATAGAGTTAAATTGAATCCTAATTCTTATAATCCAGCAGCTAGTTCTTCGAATTCTATTTAACCTTTAAATTATTTATCAAGTTTTCTAAGAAATTAAATAATGTTATGAATTACTTCATTAAATCTAATAAGAAAGAATCAAAATTAGGATAATTGTCAGCAAACATTCTTAATTTTGCTATAATTTATTTAATATCAGCTTCTTTAAATACATCAGGTTTTTATTTCATGTAATTAATTGTAAATTCGTCAGCTCTCATTAATTAAAATTTATAAACATTAAATTACACAATAGCACCTAATTGAAAATCCTAAATGAAATTCTACAAAATAATACTTTTTCACTGTAATAATCATTAGTTAAAGGATTCTTTTATCTAGATCTTTCTTAGAATTTTCCTCCCTAAATTATTAGAATATAAATAATTACCCAAATTCCGCTATTTCTTTCTGAAGTTTAATAAACTTAAACAGTATCGTCACCACAATAAAATGAAATGATAAATCTTCTAGAGTTCTCTTCTCTAACTTCACTTATTAATCTTGATTCAAATCTTAGTATAAATTAATCTTAAGTAAAATTCTTTCTAACATCTTTCTTAGGAGGTTTAGGTTAGAGTGAATAAACAGATCCTAAAGAATCCTCTTCATATCCATATCCATTATATGGAGGCACTGGTTAATAAAACTTCTTTCCTCTTTCCTACTTCAATGTAGCTGGTCTATTTATGTACTTTAATTAATAAATTACTTTTATTATATTCCTAAAATCTTTAAGTAGTATTCTTTTGTAAAATCATCACAATTATAGATAAAACAATCTCTTCCATATATTCTTACTTAGTTTCCACAAATTAAATCTAAAGGACTATAAAACTCCTCTTTTTTAAGAGTCATTCCTGGATAATGAGTTAAAATTGGTTATTTTGGTATCTTTTATCTTCTTAACATAAGAGGATAAGGATCCTTTCCTGAATTCTATTTTCTAACTTCCTTCACTTCACAAGTATCATCTGCTAAATAATAATTAAGTGTATAATAATTTAATTAGCCTTCAATTGAAGAATCATCCCATATAATATCAAAGGATAACACTTTTCTATCATTACTTAAATATTTATTTAATCCTCCATTTGGATGTCCTCCTCCTAGTTTTACTTCAAAGTATTCTTTATACTCTTTTGTGTCTGGAGGATTAATTTTCAAGTCTTTTGTTTCCTTCTATGCCTAAAAGTTATCTCTTGGCAATTATTCAGGCAAAGATAATGGTTTACCCATATATTCATAAAACTCTCTTGTGTATGTATCACAATCACAAATTCGATAAACCTAATTTAATTAAAAAGTCATACTCTATCATAAAAATTTATGTTGGAGCATAGTTAAAGATCTTCCCATGTATAAAAGTCTTATTTTCCTATTTTCTTTGGGATCTTCTATCTTTTAATGAAAAGTCCTTAAGGGATGCCTGAATTTTAAACTCGAGGCTATCAGTTATTTAAATTATTACTTCAGTCACATGAATTGTTCCATCAGAAAGGTAATAATAGATGTTAACTTATCTAATTCTATAGTTTTCATTAGGATTTTCTACAACTGATTCTTGGAAATAGGAATAAAATCGTAAAACAGCTCGATCATATTTTAACCAAGGTGGTTAAATTCTTGGAATATAATCATTTTCAGGTGGTTATCTACTACCATAAGTGAGATTTGGAGGTGTTCCCATTTTCATTGAGTCTAATAAATTTGGATCAAATTCTTCATGAATAAAATTTGTTTTTTCTTAGACAGTTCCATTTATGTTTGAAAATTATTAAGTTTTATGATGATTTTCTTTGTAAGGATCTGAAAATACATGTCCCGGGAGAAAAGGTACTTATTTAGGAAACTATGCATTCAAAGACATCTTTTATTAATATTTTAATTATCAATATATAATTGATTAGATTAAACAATTAAAAATTAACTTTTATTGCTATCTTATTATAGTTTATATTTAGTACTCACTATTATTTAATACTTAGATTTATTGAAATATTAAAAATTTAATGTAATAAAAAATTGTGTTCGATACCCAAAGTTTATCTCAAATGTAAATGTTGATCCTTATTGAGATGTCCAGAAGAATAGAGGGAAAGCTACAAATTACTAGGATAAAAACTTTAAGAGGCAAAAGACTTTGAAAATAAATTACATCATATGAATGATGAGGATCATGAATGGGAAAAATTATAAATAGAATTAGATTGCACACCTCATAATACTAAAAATAGCAAATACATCATTAGTATTTAATTTTTTAATAAAATTAGTTAGACATGCATTAGCTTGGCATAATTATTTTAAAAGAGCCACAGAATTTAGGGATAGAAATATTTATAGTTATGAATTAATGGATCCTCCACTTCATTATTTAGGTAAGAAACAGTGTGTAAAAATGAGATCTGAAATAAATATGATGGAATTTGATGTAGTTTATATTTCACCGCTATTAAGGTATTTAATTAATAAATCATTTAAATTAGAACTATATAAACTGCTTAATTATTATTTTAAGATCATCCTTAAAAAGATAAAATTTAATTTATATTGTGTCCAAACATAAGTGAAAAAATCAGCAGTTAGTATTCAATATATAAATGGGGAAATTTGACCAATATTTTATAGGATGTATTCTTAAAATCAATTTTAAATAGGAAACCAACCCTATTAAATTTGACATTAGTGAAATGCCAGAGAAATTAGAATTTTGGTAATTTAACTTAATTGGAAAATAACAAAAACTTGAAGGATTAAAACCTTGCAAAGAAGATTAAGAATAGTTTTTAGTTAACAAATTCGTAAAAAAGGGTAAAACAATTAGATTAGAAAAAAATTAGCATGCAGAGAAAAGAGTTAAAATATTCTTAGAAACATTAAAATAAAATCAATCAAAAACAAAAGTTGGAATCGTTTCACATTCATAGATAATTAAATTAATATTATCTTAATCAGATAAAGTTGTAGAAACAAAAATAAGAAATGGCACAGTATTAGGAATTAATATTTGATTAATTCCTTATTTTTTTTACACAATAATATTTATAATTATCTGTCTTTTTATTTCAAATAAAATTATTTTCTATATATAATATTATTACATATATATTCTGACATTAGAATTGAGCATGTGTATCCAGGTGAGGCCACAATTAATAAATGGAAAGAATATTTATTATATACTCAAATATCAAATCTTATTCCAATTTTCTATTTTCATTATCAATAAACTGAGATCTAATTTCTAGTTTATCCCTATCATAATATTCATGTAATTTATTTTCTAGAATTTAATCAAGTTGAGTTTTTATAGCTTCTTTTATCATATAAGCTAAATTAAAAAATTAGTTTTTACTTTTATTACCAATAATTACAAAATCAAATAATATCATTATTATTATTTGGTGAATTAAACAATTTTTTTTAATAAATTTTACATATTGATTTAATTTTTATAGTTTTTAAGATATGTTTAAAAATTACAAATAATTAACATTGTTTGAAATATCAAAAAAGAGTGTTTTAAGAGTTAGCTCTATATCGAATAAGTGGAAGAGAAATTCTAACTTTTTCTTCATCATAGACGCTTCTTTTTCTGTTATTTAAATCATTTTTCTTTATTGCATTTTTCAAATAAGGATTTTAGGATTTTTTAAGTGATCTACTAAAATGTATTTATTCATTTCCTCTTATCCATTTATGAGCAATAATTTCTTGCATCGAAATTCTTTAATTATGTTTAGGTACGAATATTTTATTAATAAGATCTTTAGCATCTTCTGAAACACTAGATTCATGTTAGAAATTACACTGGAGAATGTTAGTAACTTTATCTTCATTTGTTCTTCCTTTAAATGGTAATTTACCATATAAAAGACTGTACATTATAACACCAACTCCCCAAACATCTACACATGGACATACAAACTTAAGTTTTCCATTAAGAACTTCTGGAGGCATATAGGGCAGAGTTCCAACATTCATAGTTTCAGTTTCTCTTTAAGTTCCTGTAACTGCTGCTAATCCAAAATCTATTAATTTAACCTTAATTAAAATTATTAAATACCCAAGTATTTCCTTAATTAACTAACATTATATTTTCTAATTTTAAATCTCTATGAACATATGTTTTTGAATGACAAAAAAGCAAAGCCTCTACTATTTATTTGATATAGTTCTTTACTTCTTATTCAGGTATGGTTCCCTTATCTATAAAATAAAAATAGAGTGTTACTTCGTATTAACTATAAGAGAGATCCACCTTCTAAATATTCCATAATTAAAATACACTCTTTTGTTTTTGAAAAATAGAGATTTTAAAATACTTTCACAATATTACGATGTAATAATTCTTTCAAGATTTTACATTCTCTTTTTATAATTAAGTCTTCTTCTTCAATATCTCTTGTTATTTTAATAGCAACAAAGGATCCAATAAACTTCTGTCTTGCTAATATAACAGTTCCTTAACCTCCCTTACCAATTTCAGATACAATCTCGTACTCTTAAAATATAATGCTGACATCTAAGTCCTAACCGAAGAGAGTGATATATAATTTATTTCCATCTAAAACAAATTGTAAATCTTGCTCTATCAATTCATGACCATTTTAATTAAAGATTCTGATTCGCTTAGGGATGACACTCCAACCTTAAATAATTTGGTTGCGAACATCATTAAAAGTAGTTTTAAAAGTTAGTGTCAATTTAAAAGGAGGAAGATTAGGAGAGTAGACATTTATGATTCTACTTTTATCAAATTAAGTCTTCATTTTAATTTATCAATTTCTCTTGATTGGTCATTAAACTTTAAAAATACTTAATAAGAAGAAAAATCAAAATATAAGAATAATAGTAGATCTCTTCAAGAAATTACCTAAACATTATGAATTTCTTATTATAATGATCAAATCATAATTTCAATCCAACAGAATGGAATATATTTTTAATTTCTTATGATTGTTCTGGTGGCATAGATTTTAAAATTGAAACCAAAGTATTTGGTTTTTTCAATTGCAACTTCAATGCTTCCTATATTAATATAACAATATATTGTACTCTTAAAATAGTTATGGTATTACTTCTCTAAAATTCTAAATTAGACAATTGAATAGACTTTTCATAATATTATGTTTATAATTATGAATGTTATTCATTCATTTTCTCTATTGTTTTTTTGTGACTTGTCAAAACTTAATATAAATCACTATCTCTCTATTTTTATTCTTTTATCAACTTATCTCCCTCATCTTTACTTAATCTAGTTGATAAATCATTTTTCATTTATTCAATTTGAAATTCATTCTCTTAATTTTTCTTTTACAAAACTTCATTTAAATTTCTTGTTTTTTATAATTCATCTTCTAATTATTTGCATTTCTCTTTAGCCTTATCATATTTTTATTATAACTTTTCTAATACTCTAAATGAACCTTAATCAGTAGATGCTCTTGATCCACTACTTATACTATCCCTTGAAGCTAATTCTAATCTATCTTTAAATAATTAAATTAAAGATATTAATTCTTTTTCAAATTTATCTTATTCCTACTTTTAAATTGTTTAATCTAATGCCTTTTCTAAATTCTGTACTTTAACTAATATATTTATCTACTCTTTCTTTTTCTCATTCAATTCATAACTAATTCTTCTATTTTCTTCTTGAATCTTTTCCAATTATTCTTTATACTTCTTATTTTTATCCTTAGATTTATTTAATTTTAAATTCAATTCTTATGATTAATTTTAACATAATTCTTCTGCTAATTCCTTCAATCTGGTAATCTTTTCTGTTTCTCTCTTCTAGCTTTCTAATTCAAACATCAATCCTTAATTCATATCTTCTAATTCAAATTTCTTAGATTCCACTTCAGCCAATCTATTTTATAATTCCTAATAATTTTCAACAGTTTGCATTAATTATGCCTAAACTATCAGATTAATAAATTACTTTTGATTTATTAAGTTCAAACATATAATGACTATTAAGAGATTCAAACCATTTATCACATTCTTAAAATAAAGTATTAGTAATCTATTCATTTATTATATGCTTATTTGGTCCTTATGCATCTTTCAAGTATCCTTATAAAATCTCTTCAAATGAAGCCCATTTCTATTTAATAAATATATCTTTTTATTGTATCACTTCATCTAAATTTTAACATTCAGTAATAAAGAGATTCAAATATGATTGTAATAAAGCATTACAATATTTCTCACTTTCATTATTATTGTCATTCATTATTTTTTTCTAGTTGTCTTTACAATAAGACAAAAATTCTACAAATGTTAATTTCATTTCTGAACATGCTGCACTATCTAATAATTTAATTAAAACATCCTATTAAATATCTACTAAATTATTAAATAATGTTTCTGTATCTTAAATTCTTTGATCTGATTAAATCTTCACAACTTATTAATAATATTTATTTCTCACATCCTCATATAATCTGTAACATTCTCGATTAAATACTCCAATAAATAAATTACCATTAATTTTCCTATTTGAATTCATATACTCACAAAAATCTAACATTAGATTCAATAGCATTATGCCTGTCATTTTAAATCGGACAATCATTTTTGGTTTTCCACCCAATTTACAATGTTTTTTAGACATATTAAAATGTTTCAATAAAATTTAATATTTAGTACTTATTTTCGGTGCTTATTTTTGAATTGATTATATTGGTAATTGATCAAATAATTTTAATATTTATTCTTATTCATTTTCTATAAAATGCATGTATTATGAAACAACATATAAGAATAACAATATTGTATTTATTTGTTTTTGACATTCCTCAATAGAGACAACAAAAATGACAAATGACTCTGTTTTCATAAATGTTAAACCATTTAATTGAATAGTCTAATTATGATTTAATTATGAGTATAAATTTTGTGCATTACTATTTGTTTTAGTTATTATTGAATGTACTACAACTTCTTTGTTTAATTTGTTTAGTTCTGTAATTATCAATTAAGGTATTTCAATTGTTGAACCGAAAATCAAAGAATTCATAATTATATTAATAATGATTTATTTAATTTACTTTTGTTATTTTTCAGGTTCTGAATCACATTTATAGCTATCATTACCCTTTTAAAATTCTTTTTTAAATCTTTCAACTTCTTCTGGATAGATAAATTTGACTCATAGTTACTAAACCTTAAGTTAATTATCAAAAACATCATAAACTTTCTAAATTCATTATTTATCGATAATTTTGAGTTAATTTAATTTGCAGATTTATTGATATGATTTGCAATGACTATACCAATTTAAACTTACCTCATCATTATTTATTCACTTATTTTTCGAAAATTTCATATCTCCAGCATTCTTTTCCAAAGAAATTTTGTATATATTGAATTACTATCTGTAAATTTGTTAATTTTTGCCCAAAATTTAGATTCTTCTTCTTCCAAGTTTTAATAGGATATTGAAGTTGAGTTACTTCTCTTAAATTGAATTTGTAAAAGGTTGTATGGATCAAAATTTTCATTTATTTTTTCAATAACTTCATTCATTTTTTTATAAACTGTTATAAAATTATAAAAATTGAAAATCAGAGAAAAGTTTATTTATTATTCAAATCAATTGAATTTATTAATTAACTCTTTTTTCAAATTGATATTTATAAATTTTTCTTTTTACTTTGAAATTTATTAAAAAATTAAAAAAAATGATTATCAAGTAAAAATCATAAATAAATAACATGATTATATGAAAATACAATTATGAATCAAGTATGTCTACCATTTACCCATTCTCCTTCTAAACTTTCACGACCTTAATTTGATAATACACATCCCTTTCCATGAAATACTCCTTTTCTAAAAGTACCATAAAATACAAAATATTAATCATAACAATCTATAAATTGCATTTAACCAATTCCTTCAATTTCTCCGTTAACAAAATTACCACTATAAGTTTCTCTATTTTTTGCAACATTAGAAAAGTTCATAAAGTTTTTTAATTATAATTTTTATGATTTAGTCTCTCTAAACATTAGTTTTCCTTTACCCCAAAAAACATCATCCTTCCATTAACCAGTGTATATAATTTTACCATCTTTGTCAAAAAGTGTTCCTATTCCTTATTTTCTACCTTTTTCATCTGTTTATCCCTCAAATAAGGCTTCTTCTCCCATATAAATAATCTTTTTAGAAATGGTTGTTTTTTTATTAATATCGTAAGTTGACTATTTATTAATATTTTGTGATTGAAAACTTTAATCTCGTTTATTAGATGATTAAGTATATTTACTAGTTTTGGTATTTTTCTCATGTTCTTCTAAAATTTTTTTACTAATTTTAATTCTCTCTTAAGAATTGTCATATTTGTTTAAGAAATAACCTTTATAATTTGCATTACGTTTAGGTGTAACTGGACTATTAAATTCATCTTGAGAAGTATTAGTATGCTATTTTTTATTATGATTTCCATTGTGATTCTATTTAGGTGGTAATGAATTCTAAATTTAACTTATTCTGCTATCTATTATTTCAATTTTTTTGTTAATAGTCTCAATAATATAATCTGTGACTCTTGATTGATCTGGACTAAGAACTTAAGCTGGAATTTACGATCTTATTTGTGGTTAAACTGATGTAGGTGGCTATTTAAAAAGTATGTTGTACTCTAATATAGTTTATGCTCTAATATACAGGAACTGTTTATTAGACTAAATAAATGGGTTGTTGTGGATACACAATAAACATAATAAAATATAATAAAATTTTATTTTATTTGATTATTCTCATTCATATCATTAAGCTGGTAATTGTGATAATAAATCCAAAGCACTTTATACGATACTAATTTCTTCAGAAATATGAGATCTTTTGCTTGTATAGCTAGTATTCTCATTATCTTATGCAATTCTAGTTTAATCAAGCAATTCCTTTGATGTTTAAATAAGTTCTTATAATTCTGATTATCTTCTCTTAGCTGATGCCTATTAAATAATCTTAATATATACTAAATCATTATCTTTTGCAGTTGCTTATCTTTAATTGAATTGTTTATCTTTATCTAAATTGCTATAAGTAGTTTCAAATTGACTTCTCAAAGTTTGATATTATTACTCTGAATTTGTTGAGGATGTATTAATAGCATCTAATCTGTCTTAAACATTTTATGCAATTCCTTCTAATTTAGTAATGACTCTTCTTATAGTGTTATCATCATATTATGATGTCATTTAAATCATTATTGAAATAGGATGCTTATCTCCCAAACTTTATTTTGCTGCTTCAATAGCTCTCTCTCTTTCAATCAAACTAACATTTCCCAAAAGTGTATCACTTAAAAATCTCAATACTTCCTTAACTGCTGCTAAATATCTTGAGTTATTGTTCAATTTTTCTTCTGCTACTCTAACTTCTTCTTAATGATTATCACTCAATTAAGTAATTTAACTTGATAATAATAAAAGTTATTATCCCTAGAAACTCAATGATTGAGTAAGTGAAGATAGATCAGATGTTAAATCATTTATTTATTGATTTACTGAACTCAGTTCGCTTTCAGTGGTTTCCAATGTATTTTCCAATTTAGTAATTTATTATTCATAATTAGCTTGTTACTAAATAATTACATATATTATTACAGCAGAATGTTCAGCTTCATTAGCACCAGATGCAGCAATTAACTTGTCCAACATTGATTAAACTATTGATACTACTTCACCTAATTTGCTTGATTAATGCAATTCAAGCATCCCATAAAAATAATCGCTAAAAGGAGTGATTCTTGTTTTCTTGTATATATTTAATATATATATTACTTCTCTTAATTGCTTAATTGCGGTCAGATGAGTTTCTGTTGTAGCTGATATCGCAATCAATACCAATAATATTGCTATTCTCATTTATTATATTAATTAAAAAACGACTTCTTTTTCTTTTTTGTTACTTAATTATTTTATGAATAAAAAATATCATCACTTATAATTGTATAAATCATATACAAACATAATCAAAATTCTCAATAACAACAGTTTTACCTTGGTCTTTCTTATTGTTATACATTCTAAATTTTATTGATCTGCAAATTCTTAACTAATAATTCAATCAATTCATTTATTCCTTCTCCAGTTTTAGTTGAAATTTCTGCATATAGTAAATTTTAGTCTTTGCACATCTATTGTACTTTTTCTTAAGGAATGCAACGAAGATTTTAAGCATCATTCACAAGATCCAATTTATTTCCAACAATTACAATAGCTACGGATTCATCTGCATAACCATGTATATCTTGATAATTTTTGATTATCAAGTACCTTTAAGCCAATTTTATATATTTTCATAAGTGTATAGATCAGTTAGATCATAAAACAATAAGGCTCCTTATGATTAACGAAAATGACTAAATAGTTGGAATAATACTTTGATGTCACAGACTTATATTTTTCTGATCCAGCTAAATCAATCATATCATACCTGTATCCCAGATTTTCAATGTTATTAATTACTCCTTATAAACAATCTATTTTGAGGCATATTCAACTCCAATTGTAGATTTTGGTTATTAAGGAGTAATGTTTTTGATGGCTCTAATGAAGAAACTTGATTTTCCAACTTTACTATCTCCAACAAGGATGACTTGATATAGTTATAAAACTATTCATACCTTTATAAGAAGAAGTTTATTACATTATTAAATTAAATTTAATAATGCTGATTGATAAAAATGAAATCAAATACAAATTCACTCAATAAATTACTCTTCCATAAATTAAGTTGATTGGAATTGGACCATGAAACTTAGAATCAAAAGATAACTTTCCATTATCACCTTCAATCCAAACATGGTTTTTAGGTACCTTATTACCATAAGGATCAATCTCATCTTCCAAGTGAATTATTCTTTTACAAACTATGTAATCTGGTCTAACAGGAGATTTGGCTATAATTATATCACCTTTTTATATTTTATAAAGTGCTCTTTGAACCACTACAAATTCCCCATCTTTTACAGTTGGATGCATTGATTAGCCCTCTGAAACTTCAAATGAAATCACATGTTGGGTTAATAAATAATAAGAACAAAAGGCAGGTATTACCATTAGAATTTCTTTTTATGAGGCAAGAATTTACTTTAAAGAGGATAGCATCTATTTATATTAATAATTGCAGTACTTTAATATTTACAACAAAATTGTTTTTTTTAATTTATTTTATTTAATTATATAAAAAAAACTAGTTCATCTAATTTACATAATAATTATTGTTAAAACAAAACTCATCAAGTTTATTAATCTATCAATAAAAACACTTTCCATTTTAAATGATAATTTTGAAAAATATATTGTAAATAGATAGATAATTATATTCCTCATCGAATAATTATTATATATCTATTTAAGAATTACATGCTAATTTTGTCATAATAAGCTTTTTCATATAATTTTCATGTGATAAAGAAATGGATCAAAGATTTTAAAATATATTTTCACTTATCAAATTAAACAATATTTTGTTTCTATACTTAATATTTCAAACTAATTATTTAAATTAATGATTTCAGTTAGGTTTCTTTATGATTATTCCTTCTTCACCATTGTTGAATTTTTGAAGATTTTAATTGATGCATTTTGATAAATTGGTTTATTTGATATTAGTCAGAATCCTTCCTTATTATAGAAAAAACAAAAAGGAAATAATGAGAAAATATTGATTCAATATATTTATTATTCATAATTTCTAACTGAACAAGATAAATTGATGAATATGAAATTATGTATCATAGTCATTAATTTTCAAAAATTAACATTTAAAAAATATTTAGAAATTGTGAAATAGACTAAATCTACTAATGAATTGGATAAGAAAGATTAAAAATATTATGATGAAGTGCTTACTAAAAAAATAAAAAAAAGAAAGTGTTGTAAAATGAAAAACCTTAATTTGTTACATATCATATCAAAAACAGTATATTTATATAATTATAATATTAAATGAACTTTAATATCAGAAATAGAGTTAGACCTTAGACTGCTTACTCAATTTCATAAAAAGATGTATTCTAATGTCTAATAATTCAAAGTTAACGTCTGGTAAATTTTCATAGAATGACCAATAAGTTATAAATAAATTGTTAGAAAAAAATACTAATTATTTTGAACATGTCAAAGGTAAGGTCTATATATAATTGATAGATTAATGTATTTGTGGATTGTGTATTTGTGGAGGATGCAAATGTGGATTAGAAAGATTGAAAGAATAATAAGGAATGCCTATGAAATCATAGTATCAACAAGACTACGTTGAAAAATAGTCATCAAGAATGAAATCAATTTCATAATTACCATCTTATAAAGATGATTATACTATGAAATTTGAAACAACTCAAAGAGTAATTAAAAACAGTTATTTTAGCTTGATTTCAAAGATCCAAAATAAAGACCACAAACTTCATATAAGCCTGAATAACCTAGATTTATTTAGCCATTTCATGCAGGATCTACTTATTAGTTAACTCATATTTAAATGCCTGAGAGTATAAGATACTATATATTATAGATGAAAGAGTAAATATCATTCCTTAAAATCATCCAACAGTTATGAAAGATCTTAAATTCTTAGGATCAAGTGAATATAAAAGGAATTTCAGTGGAACACCCATAACTAGAGACAAAAATCTGATATTTGGAGCACATAGCAGTTTTGGGTAATTAAAATTGTAAGAAAGTTTAGAAATCCAATAAATCCAGGATTGCCATTTTTTGGACAATCTACGTCATCTAGAGCATTTAAACCATTTAAAGCAAAAAAAACAAGACCTACAAAAACTAATACATAAGTTTAAAGTGTACCAACATTTGATGGTTAATTTTCAACAATAACAAAATTGGATTTCGGTGATAAATCACTATAGATTTGTCCAGCAAAAGCGATTCTTAATTCTAAAAAACATTCTAATCGTTCTGGGTTTTGAATAAAATAATATATCAAGTATTGATATTTTACTTATTCTATTTAATATAATATATTATTCAAAAATTCAAATATCTTCATCTTGGACATCATAGAAATCACTGAACAATTAATAAATACTCTATGGAGTGTATTAACCTTAATTAGTAATATATAAGCTTATATAATCAGGTGGTACATAATCAAATGTAATCTTTAAAATACAAAATAAAAATACTCAAATACTTATTTAATCAACAGTAGAATTTAAATTTATTGTTAATGGAGATACAAGTTCATTAAATGTTGTTTAATCAAATGCATAATTTTGAGTTAATTTATGTGCTCCAGATAAACAATAACTGGAATAGCTAATTGTTGAGCTAAAACACAAATTGCATATGTTCCTGAAAGCATCAAAAAACCTCTATTTTTAAGAATTTCATCTATTCCCAATAAAATTTTATTTACTCTTTACATTATAGCATATGCATTAGTAAAAGGTATCAATGTGACATTCAATTTATGTTTATCTAAATCAATAGTAAATTATTTTCCTAATTTTTCTGTTTCACTTTCTAATATAATATTTGTTTCATAATCGTCTATTGTAAAATTTTATGGCAATTTATCTTATGAGGCTGATAAATGAGTCTTAAGGGCTTACATTGATGCTTTACAAGAATTTAGTCGAGCTAGAATTATAAAAAATAATACGCTATGCTTTTTAAGTATTTATAACTTTAAAATATTTATTATTTAATAAATTAAATTATTTATATTTCTTATTTTTTTATACATTATAAGTAAAATTAATTCTATTAATTTAAATGTTTCTTAATCTATTACTTATTTTTGTTAGACGCAAAACATTAAATTTTATAATGAAATTATGTTATAGAATATAAGGGTTAATTAGTATTCAATTTAATAAATATTTTATAATTATATATATTATAATAATAATGAATAAGAATCAATAAATAGAACAAGAATGTTCTCTCTTTTACATTGGGAAATTTTTATGTAATTTTAAAACAGATGAAGGATTTGCAAAAATGGATAATTCTAAATAGAAATATAAAATAAAAACTCAATCAATTCCATTACAAAGAATTAAGGATATAAAATTTCCTTAAAAGAGATTATTTGTGGTAGGAGGTGGAAATCTATAAGAGGGTAAAACAGTAACTTGTAAAGTAAAAAAAGGTGAGGAAGATATATTTAAGCTTTACAATAAATTTGGGTATATTGAACATGTTTTTGATGAATAATGGTATTTTTTGATAAATGCTGGTTATGTTAAATTACAGATAAATTTTACACAATTAAATGCATAAATTTCAACTATCACCTTAACAGAAATATCAGTATTTATGACAGAATAGGCAATCAATGATAATTATGAGCTTAAAATTTTAAGGTTTAATAGAAAAAACAAAGGTTAAAGGAGAATAATTGGAAATGAGAAATAAGGATAAATATAAATTTAAAACTAAGAAGAGATTAAAATGGAACATTAAAGATTTGCTAGATTATCTTTATTGCTTATGTTTGATTTTATGAACATATAAGTTGAGACACCAGCACTTGTAAAATCAGATAAACAATTTAAAATATTTTTTTCATAATATTGTTACTTTCATGAAAAATACAATTCTTAACCTATTAATTAATTGATGAAGTCTTATCATAGACCTATAATTGAAAATTAGGAATACTTTAATAATTATATTAACAATAAATAATTTTATAACAAATTATTTAATCGAGAGTAGATTAAAAAATTAGCATTACTAAAAGATGACAAGTAAGGATATTTATCAAATAGAATGCCCTATAAACCATAAATTGAAAAGATTCATCCTCTTTTTCATTTATAATTTTAACGTGTTGCTATTGCATTTTATGAAGCAATTCTTAGTTTCATAAGAAGAACTATGAACTCTGTTGTTAAATAATAACAGAGTTCATATTCAGATTATATTCTGAAAACAATATTTTTATCAACATTTCCTATCCAAGAGAATAATTACTTTAATGATGAATAAAATTTAGAATAGCAATAAAACTTTATTTAATCAAGATAAACAATTTCTAATAATTTAAATGAAAATAGTGGAGTAGAATTATTGAGTGATGAAAATTTAAGAATTTATGAAGATTCTAAAAATCAAATTCTAGATTATTTTTATATTGATTATGTGATTTAAGAAGAGAATCCTAAAAAATAGTCATTGAATATATTAAAGAAATAACAAGAATCTTATTTTGAAGAAACAAAACTTTAATTATAAAAATAAAATGAAGAAATTTAATAACAAGATCTAAATGATATATTTGTTTTGGCAAAATAATTAAATGAATATAATACTCCATCAAAAATGTAATCCTAGTTGAAAAAACATTAAAAAGAGGCTTTGTATTGGATGCTTGTGAGAGAAGGTTATATCAACAATTCATCTGAAGATTAAAAATAACAATTATCACCTTTATGGTAATAGATTAAACTTTTAAATGGTGAAACTTTCTATGTAAATACTTTTACTGCCAAAATTTCTAAATAGTTTGTACCAATTCAAGAAACTAAAGGTGGGATATTAGCAGATGAAATGGGATTGGGAAAAACTCTTATGGCATTAGCATTAATATTAGAAACTTAAAAAAAAGGTTAACAAACACTAATAGTTGTTCCAAAGTCAGTACTTTTATAATGGGAGAAAGAAATTTAAACTCATTCTAAACCTAGTAGTCTAAAAGTATTAGTATATTATAAACAATAATCTAGAAGTTTAAAGATAAAAATATAAGATTACGATATTATTTTAACTACTTATGCTATATTGGCATCTGATTATTCAATATGGACATAGATTAATAATCTCAATTAAGATTAAGAACAAGACTACTAATAATAAAAACAGAAAAAATAAAAATAATAATAAAAAAAAAATACTAAGTAAAGTTAGAAATCCAATTTTATAGAAGTGGAAGATGATGAAGATGATGAAGATGATGAATATGATGAATATGAAGAATATGAAGAAAACTCAAATTTTATAGATTTAACTTCTAATCATTCAGAATTTGATTTAATAAGTGTTTATAAAATGTAAGAGGAATTGAAAGATGAAGATTATAAAGAAAAATAATAACCAAAGAAAAAAAAACTAACTGCAAAATAAATACAAAAAGCAAAAAAAGAAAATAATTTATTTAAATAAAATTATTATAGAGTAATATTGGATGAAGCTCATAATATAAAAAGTAGATTTACCCTTCAAAGTAAAAGTGCTATTGCTTTAAAAAGTTAATTTAGATGGTGTTTAACAGGAACTCCTATGTAAAATAAACATGATGATTTATTTAGTCTTCTTTAATTTTTATAAGTTGAAACATTTTCAGAATAGTAAGATATTGTCATTATATTATAGTTTTTGGTGGAATACTTATGTTAACAAAGAAGAAAATGAAGATGATCAATAAAGAATTTTAGCTTAAATTTTATAACCTATAATTTTGAGGAGAACAAAGAATTCATAACAATTTGAAGATCTATAATAAGTAGTAGAAAATATACATTGGGTTGAATTGAATTAAAAAGAGAGAATTTTATATTAAAAATTGCTTTCAGGTTCATAAAGTCTTTTTAACAATATTGTGAAGAATACACTAAATTAAAGTTATATTCATATATTTTAGATAATTAACAAGCTAAGACTTGCATGCAATCATCCATAATTGGCTCTTAAAGATATTAATTTGGAGAAAACACCTTTAGATTCTGTACTTGAGAAAATTGATAAATTTTTTAATGAAAAATCACAAAATGGTAATAAAATTACTGAGGAATATAAATAAAATTTGATAGAAAATATAAAAAATGGAAGTTTTACTGAATGTTTAATATGCACTAAAAATTAAATAACAATTTTTAGTTTATCATCTTGTGGACACATTTATTGTAATGAGTAATATTTAAATTAAATTTTAGATGTTTTTAAGAAACAGTTACTAAACTTAAAAATTGTCCATCTTGTCGTACTAAATTGACAATCTAAGATTTAATTGAAGTTGGAGTAGAAAATGAAACTAATTTTGAAGAATTAAAAGATTTATCATATGGTCTGAGTTCAAAATTAACATCTATTGTCAATGAAACTAAACTTATTTAATAAAATAAGGAAAAGGTATTGATTTTTACTTAATGGATTGAAATGATTGGATTATTGGAGAATTAATTTTAAGAAAATGGAATTTTAGCATATCGTATTACTGGTTAAATGACTGTGGATAAGAGAGAAAAAATAATTAATAATTTTAAAGAATAATAAAATGTTACTGCACTTATACTTTCTTTGAGAGCTACATCTACAGGATTAAATTTAACAATGGCTAACAATGTTTTCTTTGTAGATCCATGGTGGAATGTAAAATTTTAATTTATATTTATTTTAGCCTGCAATTGAAGATCAAGCTATTGGAAGAGCAGATAGAATAGGATAAAAAAATTAAGTTAAAGTTATTAGATTTTTATCTAGAAATACCATTGAATAATAAATTAACTTGTTGCATTAAAAAAAAAAATTTTATATTAAAAGAGCACTTGGTAACAATTAATAAAAGGAATAAGAATTAGAAGATTTCAAATTTTTATTATTTTCAGAATGAATAATTAATTATTTTTTAATATATAAATATTTACACTATATAAATGCATAATGATTAGGAACTAGAAATATTTTATAACTAAAACAAGTAAACTAAAGTGGAAATTATTTCCAAAAAAAATAATTAAAGGATACTAAAATTAGCAAAACAAATACTATTAATCAAACTTTAAAAAGTTTTATAAAGAAAAAACAAAATTAGAAATTTGATTAGTGAAAACTCTACAAAATAAAGAAACATTAGTCTTTGTATTTACTTAAAAAATTATTTTGTAAGATAGTATATAATATTTAGAATAGCTATAGAAATATAAAAACATTGTTATTGCAAATAAAAATTTAGAAGTTAAGATGTTATAAAGATTTGAAGAATTAGCATTTAGAAATATTGCTGAATAAGAGGATAGTGATAAAATAGCAGCATATGTATGGAATCTTTAAGAACTCTTTTATAAAAGAGAGTGCATTTTATAAAAAGAGAGTGCATTTTATGAAAAGAGAATTATCTGTCGATATTTAAGCACTCTTCTATCTCAAGAGAATTATTCACTTGTTGGATATCCAGATTTAGTTAATAAATATAAAGATTAGTAAGCTTTAATTTCAATATATTTGTAAATTATTGGTAATTTTATCAAAAACTTTCTTAATAAATAAAGGGAAATTATTTTAAATTAGTATTTATAGCACATTTTTTTTATGAACAGAAATTTAGAAGATCTGATGTTGAATAAATAATGAAATTTATTTAAAAAATAAAGAAATCTTTAATGTATCATAAAATAAGGAAAAATTAACAATAATTGATTGTGATAAACTTTTACTTTTGAATTAATCTCTAATGCTTTTAACATTCTTTCTGATAAAGATAAGACTTTTTTCGATTTGATTAAAGACTTGCTTAACAATATCAGATTTCTTATAAACGATTAAATTAAAATCGATACAGTGAAGAGAGTATAGAAAGTAATGGAACATAATATTATAGGAGATTATATATATAGATATTTTTCAGATTTAGATGAATAAATATAAAATTTATTAGCAAATATAGATTAGATCACATAATTATTAAATTCAATTGAGAGATTAAATTTAAAAACTATGTAGGATTAACTTGAAGTATTATTATGTTTTATAAATACAATTTAAGGGCATTAAATAGAAGGAAAAACTGCATTAATGGCCCAGAAACATAAAGCAATAATTTCTGATTTGCTTAATTAATTTGAGTAAACAGTTGAGGATTCAAAAATAAAAAAGGATAAAATATAAAAATAGCCAGCAAATCAATTCAAAATGGCTAATGCTAAACAAGTTTTATATGATGATGATTTAAGAGAAGAAATAATTATATAATTTGAAATTGCAAATCCATACAAACTTTCAACAAGTGATCTACCTAAACGAAAGCCTAAATTGATCAATTTAAATCAAATAAAGTCTCAAGCTAATTAAATCACTGTTAATGAATTATAAGAAGCAGAAGAATTTATTAATGGAAATATTGAAAAAGATTACGATAATAACAAAAGTAGAAAAATTATGATAAAAAAGAAAATACATGATTTGATTAAGCATAAAGAGATTTATTATATGAAAGAGAATTTGATAAACTTGAAGAAAGTTCAAATGCAAAATCGAAAGAAGAAATGATTTTAACTCTTAAGAATTTAAAAGATTAAGTGCAATAATATAAAAAATGAATTTAAGATTTTAGAAATATTTCATAGATTTCTCATTTACTAAATTGTATGTTTTAATAAAATTATAATTAATTTAAAAATCAAAAACCTGAAACTTAATCCTATGATTTTTCTATATTATATCCTTTATTTCCTAATTAATCAATAACATTTGTAAGATTTTGTTATTATTAATTATATTTTGCAAAAAATATTTTTAAAGCAATCAATAATAAGCAAAACAAAATTAATGATGCAATTACTATTACAACTAAAAAATAATAATTGTTTTATTCTTCTTCTAAAGTATTTATAACTTTAATAGAAAAATCAATCTCTTTTTTACACATTATTAAATTAGAATAGAATGATTAATTCTAAGCTAATTGATATTAAAATTTTTCTTTGCACCAAGTAGAATTTAATATTGCATTAACTGTTATTTGACTTTATTTAGTTGCTAAATTAGTTAATTTGCATTCAACAAATGGTTCAATTCTAATAAATCTTATAAAAATAAGACTTCTAAAAGATATAGCCACCAAAAAGCTCTAAAAAGAATTAAGTTAAAAAATACTTAATTTAAATGCTGAGTTAAATAGAATTATTACATTTAAGGAATAATTGCGTATTAATCAGCATCTTCTTAAACTTCTGTTCCATCTTCCCAAGATTCATCAGTAATTGGAGAATTATAATTTACTTAAAATCCTTCATGAATGGAATGATATATTATTTTATGGCCATCATAACCTCTGATAATAGCAAATTGATCTTCTATATCAATATCAAAGTATTTTCCATCTAGATAATGGGTTTTCATGTAAAATAACTTTTTATCTTATGAGTATATGCAATATTCTATTATATGATTATATGAATTTTGTTCAATCATTATCATTATAATATTTTAATATGATTTAATTAACTTTGCTCCTTTAATTTCAAAAATAGAATCTAACCATTTCGTTAAAGTAAATGTTTAATGTTATATTGAATATATCATTAATCCTTTATATTTATCGAGAATAAAGATATAATTATTATCAAATCCCCCAAAGTCAAAATCTGATATGATCATATCTGGGATATCATTAGATAGTTAACTATAAAGATTTTAAATTTAGATTAATGAGTTTTAATCATCAAATGTATAGATATCTATTCCTAATCTTCCTCGAGCAACATATAAATAACCTTTATGCAGTTTGGCTATTCCAATGTATTCATCTTCGTTATAAATAGAGATATTGCTATTTTTAAATGAGAACTAACCGTCTATTAATTTTCCAATAATTATTTATTATGGGAATACAATAAATACACATGATTACTAATCAAACCAAATTAATTATGGTGAAACAGGTTCATATTAGGTTTATCTTAGATCACTAAAATTGAATGTTTAGTTTGATTTAATTGAAAACTTATGAGATAATTAGGAGAATTCAAGTTAAAATAAATATAGGATATGATTGCTTGTTAAAACAATAAGACCTTAAGATGTAGTATTGACTATTCCAACTAGCACAGGATTTTTCATAATAAAATTAGGATCATTAACATTGGCAGTTCTGTTTATTTTTAAAGATTAATCAGCTTAATAAACATTTATTGATGGTAATAATAATTAAATTTCATTTACCATATAAGGTTCAAAATGAATATTCTTATCATGAGAGGTGCAACTCAATAAAGATTCATTGCTTGAAGTCACTTTCATTCCAATTGTAGTTTTAGAATCATTATATTGTACAACTCTTTTTGTCTATTCTGGAACCATTTCAATAGGTTATTATTCATTTGTTTTTTGTAATTCAATTATTTTTAAGTCTTAAATGGGATTTTCAAGTTTAATTTAGGATTTTACTATAGTAGCAAAGGTAAAAGTGAAGATTATAAAAATCATAATTTTATATAAATTATATATTTTTTAATTTTCAGATTCCAAGTTCTTCTAAAGAACAAAAAACATTATCAATATCTAGTTTATCTTTTTTAGCATCAAAAGAGAATACTCTTTTTTTTGTAAAATCAGCTACTACATTTTCACCTAACATATCAACCATTTTTCGAATCTTAATAATATTGAAGAATAATACTTTATCTTAAAGTTATTCTCTCTACCTTTTAAGTTTTCTATATTTACTCTAATACAAAAGAAATAAGATTTGACTTTTAACTTTTCTTGAATGTCTTATTAATCCATCATTTGATCTAATCATTGCAGTTATATATAAAGGCCAGAGTAAAAAGAATATTATAGTTAATTTCAATTATTTTTGTTTGCTAATAAAGTTCCATTTCTTTAAAGCAAAATGAAATAGAATAGTATATATAGCAATAGCTGCTGGAACAATCATTATTGAAGCCAAAATTTTATAAGATGCAATTACATCCTTTCCACTTAACTTCACTTTAGAATTGGCTAAAGCCTTTTATCTTTCTCTTTCTGTATATGTATTTAATAAAAGAGAAATAGGAATCGTCATAATATAACCAGGCAATGCAAAAGATAAACTGAGCATAGCCATAAATAAATTAAAGGCTATTTTATATATATCCATAATAGTATTCTTTTCCATTCTCATAACTTAATAATCATAGACACCAAGTGCTTTCAATTTATAATTGTACATTTTCACCTAACTTACTACTTCCTTAACTTCTGGGTGATTTTCTAATTTATAAAAGGCAGAGGAGAATCTTATTATAAAAAGAACAATTACCTTTTTACTAATTCTAAATTATCTTAAGGTGAAAGTCTTGCTTTATCAGGCAAATAAAGAGATCTTACAATCATTACAGCAGATAGATCTGAATATGTAGGAGCTTATATTGTTACAGTTTTCAATTACTAATTTTAATATTTTATAAAGTAATTACACTTTCAATTTCATAAAGTAGATTGCTAATAGCTTCTCTTTTATTTTTTGCATATAAATCTATTAATTCTTAACTTACTTCATAAGGTACTCCGAATTCAATGATTACTTTTGATCGAAATTTATGTCCTTTAAAATAATTTAATCCAACAGGTTAAAGTTTAACTTTTGTATTAAATTTCTAGCTTGCTCCTAATGCCATTATACATATTCCTGGTTTCAATGGTAATAATCTTGTTTAATCATGACTACCTCCTTCTGGAAATATTCCTATACAAGCTCCCTTTGATAATTCAATCCAAACTTATTCAAACATATTTGATTAATCAATCTTAGGTTGTATCTTATACTAAAGATTTCTAATTGGAGAATCTAATTAACCATTGTTATTTATTTTTAACTAAGTATCATTTATCACTTCGATTATCTGAAATTCTTATTCATTCTATACTCATTTTAATTTATTACTGCTACTAATATATCATTAACTTTGCATTATGATTTAAATTCTGTTCTTAAACCATATACAATATTTCCATCAATCTTTTAGATGGTTCCAAAACCTCGTTTTGCTAAATCTTATGGTCTTTCAACCGGGATTCCTCCTAAAGCTTTTCCTAAGTGTCCTATAATTGGCCTTTTCATGCTCTATTAAATTAACATTATTGAATCACTTTAGCAGCTGCTATAAAATGAACCTTCCTTGGAATATTTGATATAATAAGCTTTCTTTTATTAATATTAGTACTAATGGATCAATAAATTGATTATTATGATTTCCAAACAACAATAATGGACCATCCTGTCTATGTAATTTTTAAGAATTTACTTTTGGAATGTTTTCTTATCCAATAACTTATATATCCCTAAAAAATGTTTAAGTAACAACTCTAATCTTATTTCAAATCATTACGTTGAAAATAATCTTGCTGCTGTATAAGCCATCTTTTTAATAAATTATAATTGTTTTAATCGTAAGAAAATTAATTTTACAATAATATTCTGACTAATTTTTATGATATGTGATTCAATTGTATCTTTCATTTTAATCTTTTTACTTATAGCTCATTAACACTTCTTCATTTATATATTGATTGCTTTTTAAAAACAATTTATACAATAAACAATAATTTCTTTATTTTTTATATTAAGAATTTATAATAACTTTTTTTAAAAATTTGAGGTAGTAAACTATCTTTATGTAATTGTTGAATTTAATATTAAAATTGAGTAAAAATTTTAATTTGTAATTGTGATAATATGAATTTATCCATAATATAAGCCTAATAAAGATTTGTAATAGAAAATTAATTTTATAATAATTTAAATGAATCTAACTTATAACAAAGAATTTGGCAATCTCCAAAGCCTTTACACTTCAAGGAACCATTCTCAAAATTTTCATAAGCAGAATTTTTTCATTTTTATATTAATTTCATAAATAGCACATGAAGAATTTTTTATGCAATATCTTATCCAACCAAAAGGGCTCAATAGGAGAACTAATTTCCAAAAAAGCAAATAATGCTACAAACAAAATGTGTTTAATATATCTGTATTATATTATTTCATTTAGGAAAAAAAAAAGAATTACATCAACTACAACTAAATAAATGAGGGAATATAAAAGAGCAGAGAAGCGTTAATTCATTATTTCAAATAGTTGCAATTTCAATCATTTTTGATAATTAAAAGGATAAGAGATCATTATTTACTTAAATTTAGAAGTCTATTTAGAAATAATAACAATGAATTGTTGATTGTTTTATTAATTTTTATTTATGTAAATAAAAACTTTAATTTTCATAATACTTTATTATTATTAATAATATGAATCCTAAATACATTCAATTTAATTACATGAATGATTTCTAATTAAAAGATGTTTTTATTTTTTTTATGAAAACTTTTTGTGTTGTAATTTTGTAAAACTAATTAACGAATAAAAAACCCTTTATTTGTATCTTTATTGAAATTTCTTAATGACTATTAATAAGAAATTTTTTCCAATAAGTTGGAATGAGCAATTAAATTTGAAAATATTATCAACAAAAAAATCATAATAAATAAATTTTCAGAAGAAAACTTCAATGATTAGTTTGAAATAAAATATTCATGCTTTCTATTAAATACTAATATTGATTAAACTAAATTTATATTGTTTAAATATAAGTAGAATAATTCATCCCTTAACTTATTTAAATAGATTAAATTAATTATTAATATATTATTTGTAAAATTAGATTTAACTGAATAAAAAAAAGCTTAAATATATTAAGCATAAATTTTTAAAATTAATAAAATTTAATATGATATATATTAATGAATCAAATTATCAATGCTAATAATAAAGCCAAGAAAACAAAAGCTATTTATTGTGAAAATGAACATGAAGGAGAATTGCAACACGGCTCACAACCTTCATGAGCAAATCCATTAATCTCGCATTCTCTTTCACATGTGGGACATTCATTTGTTTCATCATCTTTAATACATTCAATAACTTATGTTTGTCCATCGACTGGATCTAATTGACTTTAAACCAAGATTCTTCTGCCTTAATTATTTGATAAGGATGAAACAATTTTGATAGTGACTTATCTCCATGCAATTTCAGCCTTCAATTATACAAGAACTTATCCTTATATGGTATTATTCATAGAAATTATTTTTGCTTATTTATTCAATCCATTACCTGTATACCAAACTTAAGTTCCAGATAAATAATAATTAGTTAATCCAGTAGTATTAACAATTTATTAGATTATGAACTGATCATTTAAATGAAGTTCTGGTTTATCAACATTTTTGCATGTTAAATATTATGACTAAAACATCAATGGTTTTTATGGGTCATCTGGTTTTTAAGTTTCAGTACACCAATTTAATTTAGTTTCAGCAGTTATTGTACAATCTCCTACTAGACAACCTGCAGTTACACGTTAACTTAGAGGTTTAAATACTGTCTCAACTACTGCTCCTGTTTTTCTTTCTACTAGAAGAGTAAAATCAAAATAAAATGAGTATTAGAGTTCCTCTGTACCAGCATAATAGTAAGCAATAGCATAATAGCCATTGTAAATATAATAATCAGTATTATTTGATTCAATTAATCTAGTTCTTAATTCATTTCCCGGAATTGTGAATGAATACTATCTCCATTATTCTAATGTGTTATTTGATGCTGTTAATGGTAAATCACTCACTTAAACTGGATTTTTAAAATCTTTTGATGAAAATTTATATAGTCTTAATTCAAGACAAACAGTTTCAGCTGTCTTTCCATCTTCCTTAACAAGACCAAAAAATATTGGATCATTAAAAAGATCTTTATCCGAATATCTTAAGTTTATCTATGCATTAGCTGTTCCTTAAGTATATGAGACATCTCCAGTGAAAGCAATCTTTGAAGGATTATCTTTAGTTCCAAACTTTTCCAAATACTTGTTACATTCTGGATCATTTATTGTAAATCCTAATACCTATCCTAATTCAAGTATATTTATGATTGTGATTATGAATATTGTTTTCATTTTTTTTCAATTAATGAATTCACCCTGAATTATTCAGCTTTATAACCCAAAAATTAGACAAAATTCTATTTAACAACTTGAATTCTATCTAAAAAAAACATAGATGCAATTACAATTTTTTAATGTTAATGATATAACATTCTCAGATATGTGATTAAAAACTAATCCTCATCTTAAGAATTAGATAGACTTTTGAATTCTAAATAGTTTTTCTATTTACTCTTCTAAAAATTATATATTTTGTGATATTATATATTAATGAAAATTTTTTAATATATAGGTTTTCATCTAATTCGAAGTTAAAATTGCTTGGACATCAATCTTATCAATTGCTTTAACAAGAAATATAGAAATTTTGGTCTAAACTTATGTATTACTTCTATATATAATTATTCACAGTTTAACAATTTCTTAGAATAAATTGATCTAAATTTTTATCTTTTAGCTTATAGATTTAGAATTTTAGAATATAAATGAATCATATATTGTAAAAAAACATATGTAGTAAATTTTATATTCATAAGTTTTAAATAATTATATCTTTTTCAGTTTGATTTTTTGGTTCTTGGATTTTCGTATAAACTTAATGATCTTACTTATAATTTTTACAGATTTATATTATCCAAATATGCATCAACTCTTAGTTTAATTTTTTATAATTTATAATCAAAATAAAATTTCTACATATTTTATTATATCTTTTTATGCTTCACGTATGAATCTTGAAAATTTTCTTATTTTAGGTTAGATTATCTAAAATCATAATAATTTGAATTATACATGTCATTTATCTTTCTGAAAAATCTTTTATTTTCACTTTCTATACGTAGTTTTTGCTCTTTTAAGGATCTTTTACCTCTAGGGGTACCACACTGACTGGGAGGCTTTCCAATTTAAATTTTGAAATACTGTAGGGGAACGATTACTTATTTTAACAAGTCTTGCATGTATTTATGTATTTTATTCTTAAATTGTCTACCATTTCATTAGTTCCCGTTTTCTATTATTTATAAACTAAGTTTTTTTGACTTGCTCATGAATTCGATAATCTTTTGGAAGACTCTGCTATCGATAATTTTATTCCAGCCTTTTCTTATGAGCATCATACTCTCTTATTTTACTTTATATCAATACTATCTATTAAGCCAAATCTGATTAAGTTCTAGATATCCTTTTTACAGATTTTTCATTGTTAAAAATAATAATAAATAATTCAATAAAATTACTAGTGATTAGAACAGTATTAAATATCTAATAATTTTAGATTTTGGTTTACATAAGAGCAACTTTTTAAAATATTATACAATTATTTTAGAATGAACAATCAAAAGACCTATTGAGACCTAAGTAAGAAAATAAATGTAATAATTTATAAGTAAAAAACATGCTAAAGTTCATTAATTGAAAATATTGGGTTGTTTCTATTTTTTCTTTATGAAATCATTTATTATTATGATATTATGGAATATATTGTAAATAAAATACATTTAATTTTATTGCTAAAAAAATAGTTAGTGTAATGAGTAAATTCTTTTTGGTAAGTTAAAAAATGTAATATTAATCTTTTCTTCTCTTTTGGTGAAGATTTAAGGATTAAATAATTCAATAACATTATAATAAAAAAATAGAAAATATTTTATATTATATAATTTATTATTATATTATAATGGAAGAACGATTCAATGAAATAGTATAACCTCCAAAAAAGGAGAATAAAAAAAAACCATTTGGAACTGATTAACGTTTTAAAGCATAATAAATATTGCGTCCATCTCCTGCTTCTTATACAATACCAACTGTATTTGAAATGGAAAAATATAAAAAGAAAGGGAAATCAATATCAGTTTTTAAAGAAAAAGCATTGATTAATGATGTTCCAGGTCCTGGGAATTATAAGGATATGGAAGGTTTAGGAGGACCTTTATTCTCAATAGGAATGAAATTGGGTCCATAAAAGAAAAATAATTTTCCAGGTCCAAATCATTATGACCAATAAATAAAATAATGTTTAACAAAGTATAAAAATTTTGGAAATACAATAATTTAATGAATATTATAATATTAATTCTATAATTAGTATAAATTTGAATTTTTATAATAAATGAGAGAATTTAAATAATAATAATTATAATAGTTGAGATAGATGAGAATCTTGATTTAATAAAAACAATGAAAATAATATAATAAATGATGTGACGCATCATTTAAGTTGAATAATTTTTGAGAAATGACAATTATTAAAAAAATGTTTATAACAATCATAAGATCCACTACATTATTATAACTAAAACCAAAAGTTGGTTATTAGAAGTATTTGACAAGACTTAGAACGGTTTCTTTAGCAGGTGTTATAACAATGGCAGCTTCTGCATATTATTGTTATGAATGTTTCTGGAATACTTCTTTAGAATTTATTCATCATCCAGAAGCAATAGAGAAACATCTTCTTAGTATATTTGGAGATGTAAATATTAAATAATATAGAAGATCAAATATAGACCTACTTTCTATATTCCTCACAGGTTATTATAATTAGCATATGCTACTCGTTGGGAATAAAAAATTGAAACAGAATTTGAAAGATAACTATTTAAATTATCAGATGGTGGACAATTAGCCTTGGATTGGAAGAATAAACATGTTGTTACAAAGAAACCACTTATTTTAATAACTCACGGATTAACAGGTGGTTCTGAGACTAATTATATAAAACATGCTGCTGAGACTTTAGCTAAAGCTGGTTATTAAGTAGTTTGTTTTAATTAAAGAGGAGTAGCTAATTGTGAATTATTGACAAGTAAATATCATTTTCATGGATGTACAAATGATTTAAGGGAAGTTATTAATTACTTATAAGAAAATAAATAAAAAGGATAATAAATATTTGGATTAGGATTTTCTATTGGAGGTAGTCTTCTATTGAAATATGCAGGAGAAGAAGGTTATAAATGTAAAGTCAATAGAATATTCTCTGTTGCCAATCCATACGATCTATTAGATTGTTCTCATAATATTATGAAATTTAGAAACAAAATTTATGATTGGTCAATTACTTGTAATTTCAAAATGTTACTTAAATAACATTAAAATTCATTAGCAGATAACCAAAAAACTAAAGGAATTTAAATTGAAGAAGCATTATAAGCTAAAAATACTTATTAATTCGATGAACTCATTACAAGAAGATTATTTGATTTTGATTCTCCTGAATAATTATATTCAAATATAGGATGTGGCAATTATATTAAAGATGTTAAAGTTCCTGTTTTTATTATGCATGCTAAAGATGATCCGATTGTTCCTCAATTTCTAGTTCCTTATGATTAAATTAAGTAAAATCCTAATATTATTGTGGCCTTAACAAATAAAGGTGCTCATGTTGAATGGTTTACTGGTTTTAAACCATAAAGAGTATATATTTAATTATATTTATTAGTGGATAATGAATCCTATACTAAAGTATTTCGAAGAGATACAATCACTATGATTATTATATAATTATTATATTTCATGAGTACAACTAATTTAGGCAGTCCTTCTTATTACTTCTCTTCATCAGCTCCTAAGCTAGAAAATCTATAACAGAGTCCTAAAAAAGAATTTTTTGATGCATCTCGTTAATTAGAAAAAGCAAAGCGAAGAGTCTAACTACTAAAACTAGAAAATGAAATTAGGTACTCTTAAAATATGAATATTCATTTCATAGAGAAAAGAAAGCTTAAATACAATAGTAAAAGACTGAACAATTAACCAGAATTCGTGAAGATCATGAATAATTTAAAGAATTTGTATAATAATTACATTATATATAGAAATAAATGCATAGAGAATAAGTTAATATGTAGATTTAGAATTTGGTATCTCGAACACGTAATCTTAAAAGACAATAATCACAAGAGAAAATTTATATTTAATAAAACTTCCTTTAGATGAAATAATAAGAAGTCAAAAATATAAAAGTGTAGTCTTAAAAAAATGAATAGCTTATTAGATAGAATCTCGAAAATATTAAATAATAAAAATATGAGCAAAAATAATAGATTCTCACTCAAGAACAGTTAGCTTAATAGAGTATTAACAATTTTCACAAATAAAGATATTTCAAACATTAACAAGATCATTATCACTCGAAATCTTAACATATGATTGAAGCTGAAAATAAACTAACTATGATAGAAGAATTAAGAAAATAAGAAGCTTAATTATTATAAAGATTAGAAACTACAGTTATATATATATTTTATAAATAGTCTAAATTGAATACAAGCCTGGTTGTTCGATAAATATCCACAACAACTCCAAAAACAGAATTCAATAATTGAAGAATGTAAATTATTTATATTTTTTATAAATTATATTTATTATCCCAATTATCATCATTATTTCAAGAAATAATTTTTATAACCTATAAAAACTTCATAATAATTTTTTTAAAGGGGTGTTTGAAAAAGTATTCTAAAACTAATATAGTAAAAAAAGTTTTATAATATTAAGGTAATTGAATTATAGAATTAAGCATGCATATTTTCCATTTATTAATTGGAGAGTGGATTTGGATTATTAAATGATATTTGGCTTATTCTGAACAATTTAGGTAATTAATAAGAGGAATAAAGATCCTGTCTCCAATTATATCATATAGATAATGTCTACTAAATGTTTAAAATTAAAAATTCTTTAAGAATTTTATTGTTGTTGTTGATTTTTCTTAGAATGAAATCCACTTTCATAAGACAACTTATGGATCAAGAAAAATTACAATAATTGATTTTTATTAGTAATATTCTTTGTTATGGCAATTTTATGGATTTGTTGAAATATAACCAAAATTTTTAATAAAACAACTTTTATTTATAATTTTATAAGAAAAATTGGATGTTTTACAAATACTTTAAAGTTTGCTAAGAAATTACTTAATATAAAAACGACTTAAATTTAAAAGGATTGATAAGAACCTACATTATGGTGATAGAATATAGAAATCAAGGATGAAGTTACAAAATAAATATGATTTACAGATTCAAATTAGATGAAAAGAGAAAATAATTACCTTTCAGGATAGTCTTTAGAAAATTCTTTAGTAAATTTTGTGTTATTTAAGGTTCTCTTATTTTTTATTTAGAAAAGTGTGTATTAAAAAATTATTATATATGTTAAATAGTTGTTCCGAATTCTTTTTGAATAAGTAAGATATTAATTTGAGATTCTCGGAAAGAATGTGAATTCCTATAACTTCTTGATAGAAAATTTTTTTGAGTTTCTATATTCAAGAATAGTTTGTTGAAAATTTTCCATTTCATTTTAGAATTATCTCTTTAAAGAGAAATAATTATTAGCAGACTTTATATCCTGTTCAATAATTAGAAATAACGATAAGTGATTTTGTAAAAATTTAGAATAAATCAAAAATATATTCCTAATTATTTAATTAAATAAATATTTTAAATTATAAAAGCAACACCATAATAAATATTTTAAACAATATTATAATTATATTCAATTTATTAATATGAATTAAATAAAAAGTTCTAAGATATGTTCATATATCGTAAAGAAGCTTTCAAAAAATTTGTCAATTGAGGAAATAACTGTTTACCTTGCTTAAAATAATCAAAAAGAGTATTTGCTTAACTATTTTTAGGTTAGAAGAAATGAAATTTTATAAAAGTAAAAATAGATTGTAAGCATCGGAAACTTAATTATATGATTAATCGTTAGAAGAATTGAATTCTTAAAAACATCGTATTAAGTCAAAAAATTATGAAATGATGTTAAATTTTCTAGAAGGATTGTAACCAATTTATAAGATTGGAGATTCGATGCAGAAAATAGTACACTTAGAGAAAATCATCTTAGGAGAAGATAATTAAACTGAAATATAAGAGAATGCAACATTAGAGATAGAAGGAGGAATAGTTTATATAATTAGCTTATGGGTAATAGAATTTAAATTATTATAGGATAATATTATAAAAGAAAATGAAGGACCTTTAGATGAAGTTTAACAATTATATCAAATCAAAACAGAATGGAAAAATAAAGTCAAACTTATATCAATTTCTTTAAAATCTTAATCAAAAAAAATGATTGAAATAATTAATTAAAAGAAATGGAAATGCTTTGAACATTATAGAATTTAAAAATATGGAAAAGTGCCTAATAAATTTCTAAGTATGTTAAATTATGAGGATTTGCCATATGTAGTAATAATTGGCAAAAATGGTAAAATAGTTCATATAGGATTTCACTTTGAAGTTGTATTAGAAGATATTATCACATAAGAGTTACAAAAAGAGGAAGAAATAACTCCTTAATAATAAGAAATAAATAATAATAATTTGGAAAAAAGTTAATTGTATTAACAGATAATAAATGAGATTTAATAAGATAAACAAGATTAAAATATTTAAATTATTTAATAATCAATTTCTAATGAAAATTAAGATGTCTAAGTAAGTTAACTTTAAGATTAATAATCGGAGGTAGATTAAGATAATAAAGATAAGTAATTATCTGCTGAAAAATAAATTCCAGATTAATAAAAAATCTCGAAATAGGAAAATAATAAAAAGGATGTACAATAAGAGAATGCCTAAAAAATGATAAAAGAACAATTAAAAGTTTAAAAACAATAACTTAAAGATATTTAAGAAATTCTCAAATCTTTTAATTTTGAAGGCAATCTTTCTATTAGCCTAATTAGAACAAGAAAATTAGAAAAAGCTAACAAATTTAAGATCGAATAAATTTCTGAATTTGAGTTAAGTTATTCTGTTTCTAATAATGATTTAGATTAATTAGAAAGTTTTATTGATTAAGTTTGGAATTAAATACCTGAACCTTTGAGAAGGATAAAACAATCAGATGTGTATAACTAAAGTGTGAATTTGGTAGATATTTAAAAAAAAATTCGAATAATTTTTAAAAACTCAGGGAAAATAAGATACCCAGAAACAATTAATATTGTAATAATTTGGGATAGAGATCTTGAAAAAATGGTGATTAGTGAAAAAAAGGGTTTTACTGTTTCTATCTCTGAACTTAGTCTTGCTTAATTTTATGAAGGCATTTAAGAATCAAATCTACATTTTTCCTAATTAAATGAAAATGAGAATTACAGTTATATAATTAATAAACTAATAAATTAAATACGTTTATCAGTTACCTTAGGCCCAGGAAAAAAATTTGTACCAATATTAAATTATAAAAAATATGGAGCTGATGAGAAGTCATAAATTAATCATGAATAAGGATAAGTATTAGTAATCTTTTATTGGACATGTAATAATGATTGCATTAATTTACTTAAAAATTTAGAATAAATTCTTTTAAAAAATAATGAATCTTGGGGTAAAAATGTTAATTTTGTGGCTTTAAATACTGGAGAAGAAAAAGAATATTAATAATTTATGGAATAAAATGAATAATTTAAAAATGTTATGAATATTTACCACAAGAAAGAGATTGTTTTAGGTGATACATATTTATATGGTGCTACTCATGTTCCATATTTCGTAATTGTTGATAAATTAGGAGTGATAAGATAAATTAATATCCCTTTAAATATAGAGAATTCAATAAATAAAGTAGTTAAAGAGGGAAATGTATAATATCCATAAATATTTAAAATATAACGTCAGAGTGTGAATTTAATAAAGAAAAAAATAGGAAATCAAGATATTAAAAAATAATTATCATCATTTGATAAAGATAGAATTATTGATTTAAGATTAGAATTTGAGGCATAACAAATAGGCAAAGATTTAGAATTTCAAAAAGCATACTTAAATTACTTTATTAGAGATAAATAAGAGGAAGAATTCAATAAATTATTAATTCAATTATTTTAAGTGATTCCTGAACATTGTTGGAATATTAATAAATAAATATCAAAAACAATTTCCATTAAATATCCTGGAAATATATGTGCAGTATGCTAATAAGATATTTCTTCAGAACCTAAATAATATTATTGTTATTTTAAAAATGAGTATGTCTGTGTTTAATGTGCAGAATTTACTGATTTATCAAAAAAAGGAATGGATATTTATAAATATTAAGATACTTTGATTTTTATTAATGGACCTCTCCAAGATGAATCTGTCTTACAAGACATTGATTCACATAAAATTGGAAAAAATAGAAAACTTAAAGAAGGAGAGGATGATTCACTAAAATTTAATTTTATCTGTAATGGTTGCAATAATAGTCAACATGAGGGGCCTAGATATATAGCTGTAAATGCACGACCAGGAAAGTATAGAGGAACTGTATTTAATATTAATTAGTTTAGGGTTATCTTGATTACTGCTAATAATGCTTTTAAGTTTTGAAAAACAAAGATTCTATTGAAGCAAAGAAAATCATTGAAAAAGATGTTGCTGAAGGAATGAATTCAGATAACCTTTTTACGAGAGTTCTTTTTTGGTATGGAAAATATAGTGAATTTTGAATATCAATTATAAACAATTGAAATGTAATTTAAAGTCATTTATAACTTTCAATGAGTATTAATTATCAATAATATTCGAGATAAATACTTTTAGTTATTATATCTAGTATTTTTTATATAGAACTATAAAAAATGTATTTCTTTAATTACTATTATTATTTAATGAGCAAACTTGTGATTCAATTAAAAATATTTTAAAAATCTAAAATCATATTTCCTTACTATTTGGAAAATAGTAGAAGTATAAAAAGATTTTTTGAATTANAATATAGAGAATTCAATAAATAAAGTAGTTAAAGAGGGAAATGTATAATATCCATAAATATTTAAAATATAACGTCAGAGTGTGAATTTAATAAAGAAAAAAATAGGAAATCAAGATATTAAAAAATAATTATCATCATTTGATAAAGATAGAATTATTGATTTAAGATTAGAATTTGAGGCATAACAAATAGGCAAAGATTTAGAATTTCAAAAAGCATACTTAAATTACTTTATTAGAGATAAATAAGAGGAAGAATTCAATAAATTATTAATTCAATTATTTTAAGTGATTCCTGAACATTGTTGGAATATTAATAAATAAATATCAAAAACAATTTCCATTAAATATCCTGGAAATATATGTGCAGTATGCTAATAAGATATTTCTTCAGAACCTAAATAATATTATTGTTATTTTAAAAATGAGTATGTCTGTGTTTAATGTGCAGAATTTACTGATTTATCAAAAAAAGGAATGGATATTTATAAATATTAAGATACTTTGATTTTTATTAATGGACCTCTCCAAGATGAATCTGTCTTACAAGACATTGATTCACATAAAATTGGAAAAAATAGAAAACTTAAAGAAGGAGAGGATGATTCACTAAAATTTAATTTTATCTGTAATGGTTGCAATAATAGTCAACATGAGGGGCCTAGATATATAGCTGTAAATGCACGACCAGGAAAGTATAGAGGAACTGTATTTAATATTAATTAGTTTAGGGTTATCTTGATTACTGCTAATAATGCTTTTAAGTTTTGAAAAACAAAGATTCTATTGAAGCAAAGAAAATCATTGAAAAAGATGTTGCTGAAGGAATGAATTCAGATAACCTTTTTACGAGAGTTCTTTTTTGGTATGGAAAATATAGTGAATTTTGAATATCAATTATAAACAATTGAAATGTAATTTAAAGTCATTTATAACTTTCAATGAGTATTAATTATCAATAATATTCGAGATAAATACTTTTAGTTATTATATCTAGTATTTTTTATATAGAACTATAAAAAATGTATTTCTTTAATTACTATTATTATTTAATGAGCAAACTTGTGATTCAATTAAAAATATTTTAAAAATCTAAAATCATATTTCCTTACTATTTGGAAAATAGTAGAAGTATAAAAAGATTTTTTGAATTAAAATAATGAAAGAAATAAGATTTAAGAATGTTTCAAACTATTAAAATAAAATAAATAATGCTTGATCCATAATACAAGTTTTGATGATAAAATAATAGCTTAATTTAATCTATTTATTAATTTATTTGAGAATCATAAGAAATTATATTATGAAATATCATCATAATTATTTAATAAATAAAATTATAAATCACTGTTAAGTGAATTGATAACCAAAATTATCTTATACACTATTTTCAAATGGATCTTCAGAAGTGGAGAGCCTTTTTAGATAACCAAGTGTGGTATTAGAAAAATACTATTATTAACAGTTATTTTATGGTGTAAGAGCTATATGTTTTCTTCTTGCTTGCTATTACAATTTATGTCGAGTTGTAGAAATTTTAACAATTTAATTATATTTATGAATTTCCTCTAATTTTTTTTCACTTATTTCTTTCCAATAATGTTCTTTAATATGTTTATCATCTTTATGGTAATAATGTAAAAAATAGAATTCTTTAATAGAATGTTATACTTTTTATATATCAGGAAGCAATTAATAAATTTAAAAGAAAACTTGAGTTTAAAGTGAAAAATATTCTAACTCAAACTCTTTAATTAATCTATAAAGTTTAATATTAAAATTACTTTTCTAGAAAAAGATATAATGCAATAACATCATTCCATAAAAGTAATAATAATTCATAAATAATATCTTCTTTGTTTGATGATAAAATCTCTTTACATAATGGAGTTTGACAAAATATAAAATTTAACAGGTTTATAGCTTTATAATACATATTTTAATATTCTTCAAACTCTAGGTTAATTGAATTATAATACATTTGATTGTATAGGTTTTTTAACTTTTGACCATTTTGATTAGTGAGATACTATTAGCAAATCTTTGTAAGACTTGAAAATAGAAATCTACAAATTTATCTTCATTTTAATTAGAGAAATCTATAAAACCATCCCAATCATTGAGATGCTCTGCAAATATAGCACCATGCATAAGATCATCTAATAATACATGACATGCAGCCAAAATCTTTAATTTGACTCTATAAGATGCTTTTTATGGAAGTGCATTAAAAAACTTCTTAAATATAGTTCGTATTGAAATTGGAGTTAGTTATTCTTAGAATCCTTTCATTAAGTATTTTAGATCTGTCACATTTAATTAAGCAGCATTGTTGAGTATTGAACTTTATTATAGATGTCTTTCAAAGTCAGATTTAAATAAATTAATCATTTCACTATTCTTTTCATAAAAATTTATCAATTTTATTTGCTAGTTCAGTCTAAGAGAAAGAATTATTACTTAATAATTCAAATTCTTATTCTAAAGTAATGTTTACAAAAAAATACATTAACTAATTACAAATGAAAAAAAGAATAGATTAATGTCATGAATAATATTTTTAAAACATAAATTAATCCTATTTATTATCTTTTTGATTATTTTTCGATTAAAATTGACTATTAGAATTTGAGAAACTGAACTTCTAATCATATATTGATCTCAATTGTTTTGTTTCTTTTTATGGAATAGGTTGTTATATTGGTTTTGGATATTAAATACTTTTTTTAGGTATTGGAGGAGCTTAACTTGTCTCTCTTATTTTTTTAGATAGATGTTCTAATTCCTCTTTCATATTAACCTCATAAATGTCAACATATTCTAAAAATGTTTAACTTATTTTCTAAATTTTATCATCATGTATAAAAACATCAAAGGCATTAGATAAATATAATTTTAATGCTTCATCAACTTCTTAAGCTAATTATTCAAAATCATGATTTTATTCTTCATTCATTACCATTAAACATCCACGTATATATTTAGGATGAAGTAATAATTTCTCTTATTATTCTAAATTAACAATGATTTAATTAAGTTTTTGGTGAAGATCCTTTTTTTCCCCAGGATGAGATTACTAAACATATAGGTTTTTAATTTTACTTTATGTAAATGAATTCTTTAATTAATTTATTCTTCTAATTGAATGCAATATTAATTTACAAGTCCTATTAAAGTTGATTTAACTTTTTGTAGTTTATTTTGTATTTATTTAGCCAAATCTGGAGAATCACCAACATTAAAATGATGAAGTATATTTCTCTCTCTTTTCAAATAACAAAATATTTATACTCTTCAAATTTAGTTTTCAATCCTTGCAAATTGTTTAAAAGTAACTACCTTACGTTATCAACAGTATCTAACTCTGCTTGTGTACCATATTAATTATGTTATTAAACATGTATTTTACAGCAATCTTTACATAAAGGCTATTTAATTTAGAAAATATATATAACCTATCTGCATTCTAAAGACATACAAAAAAGGACTATATCATTCGAAGGATGTTTCAAACATTTTTCAAATTAAGATGGAGCAACAGACATTTATTGTTATTAATTTAATACTTAAATTAATTATTAATACTAAAATTAATAAACATAAATGGATAGATTATATAAATGTTTTAAGAATCATTAATTAAATTAAATTACTGAATATAAAGTAATATATAACCATATTTCATTTTATACTTGAAATACTTGAAATTATAGGTATACTAACCAAACTTTTTTAGCTGTTTGGTAGTTATTTTACTTTATTTGCTTTAAATATTGGAATTCGTCTTTTACTATTTATTTTATTATAATAATATACTGTTTAATTTGAAATGGCTTTTCTTCAGTGCTTTATAATTTTTGTATGAGATTATCATATATTTTCTTTGTTAAACCTTTAGGGCTTTTCAGAGGTGAACGAAGATTATTTGATTATTAATTAAAATTTTCTAGTTTATTTGCTCAAATCCATTAATTTAGATGTCTATACTTCAAAAGAATTAACTTATTTAATTTAAATCTCCTTTCTAATCTTTTATTTTTTTTAATCAGAAATTGTAACTTCTAGTCATATTATGATTTCTGATTATCAAATTCATCTTAAAAGAAGTCCTTTTTCATCTATTATTCAGTTTACATAAATAATTGTTCTTATATAATTAATTATCCTTCTTTAATTGTATAAGTTCAAATTGTAACAATTCTAAATTTTGTTCAAGTTGTTACACATAATTAATTTGAACTGCAGCATTTTATAATTGTCTTTATAAACTATAAACAAGTAATGATAAACTTTAATTTTCTTTTGTTAATTTTTTGTTTAGATAATGAAGGTTGTCTTTACTTATATGATCCATAGAAATTATTAATGATTAAATAAGTAATTATAGATTTGGTTTTTTAGTTGTACATAAAACTTAATTTAGTATATGATTAAGTTCTGTTATTAATTATAAATGTTATTTCAAACTAGAGAAAAAACATCTCGTTCTGTTTCACCAGCAAATCGTTCAGACTTAGTAACCATAATACCAAGATCTTAAAGTCCAACCATTACAAAAGAGCAATTATAAGTAATAATTTGTAAAATTTAGAACACCAAATTTTACAATCGTTTCTATAGATAGGAACAACGTTATCAACTTTTATAAGAATAGGTTAAACAGATATTTATAATGCATAGATTAATGCAGAGATAAAGGCATTATCAAATAAGAAGAAGATTACATAAAATTCTTATGCAATAATAGCAAATTAATTACAATAACGAATTTAAGAAACTTTATTAAGATTTTAAGGTGAAGTGCTTGATTTTGCATAAATAGGAACTGCCTTCACTGAATTAAAAATATTTTAAGAGATTGTTTTTAATAGCGATTGCGAATGTATAATTTATAATTGTAAAATAGTGGTAAATAGCGATTAACCTCTTAATTTGAGAGGTAAACAAGAAGTAATTATAAATTACATAAATAGATGTTGATGCATGAGATGTTATGGAATCTAGTATCACAAGATGGATAATATGAATAAGTTGAAACTCAAATGGTACTATGTGTTTTTAGAATATTGATGGATCCAGTTAAATTGACAGTTGAAGAGACAGCATAATTAGTTTTAGATTTTTTAAACTATGAAATTGCAAATTATGCTTAAAAATTTGAACAAGCTAAAAGATTAGTAATTCAATTCAGAGCACTTACATAAAATTAAATGTTTTCTAGTTATCCAGATAAAAAAAAAGAAGAAATTGAAGATATAAAAGAGAAATATTCACCTTCAATTAACTAAAAATCATAAATTTTAGCATATTAAAATAGACAAAAATATATTGATAAATAATTAAGTACTTAAAGTTAAAGTTGTGTTGATGTTCTATTAAAAAAGAAAGAAGAATTTAACAGAGAAATTAAAAAATAATAACAATAAAAATAAGAAGAAAAAATGAAAGAATGTACTTTTTAACCAAAAATAAATTAAAATTATTCATAAAATTCTACAATTGATGTTGTTAGTAGATTATACACACAAGAATCTATTTATTAAAAAAGATTATATTAAGAAGAAAATATAAGAAAAACTTAAGAATAAAGAGAATTGACTGAATTAAACTAATGCACATTTACACCATTAATTAATGATGGTATTCCTATATCTACAATCACTTCAAGCACTCCAAAAGATTATGATAAAATGGTAGACAGAATGAGAAGTGCTAATAATAAGGCAAAAGAACAAAAAGATAAATTAAATCAGTAATTATATTAATAAATATTAAGTATATCTACTGGAGAATAATTAGATAAACTAAGAAATTCTCCCTTTAACCCTCCTTAAATGGTCAATAGACCAAAATTAAAAAAAAAACCAATAGTAATTATGGATGTAAACATCTGCCCAGGTAAATAAGGCAGATTAGCTTTATATGAAGATCAAGACCCTTAAGATGTAGTTAAGAATTTTTCAAAGTTATTTAATCTCAATACAGAAATGTCAGACATTTTACTTAATGTTTTGGAAAAAGAAAGATAAAAAATGATTAAAAAATAAAACACTTGAAAAATAAGGACTATTTCATTAATCTTTGATTTTAATATTATTTAATCATGAATATCAAACATTCTACTTTTTCAATATATAAACCATATATAATAGTTCTCTATCTTCTAATTATTTTTATGTTTATTTATAATGTTTTAATTTTTTGCCTACACAATTTAAAACTAATGATTAAAGATATATTTTACTCCATTCACCATAATCTTTTGTCTATTATTAAATATAGGCTATTTAAAATTTAATCGCTGAACATAACTCTAAAGTTAAATCATGCTTATCAATCAATCTTAATCCATCTATATTTAAATTGTTCTCTATCTAATAAATGTTTTATTAACTGTCAAGATCAGAAATAATTAAATAACCTTCTTCAATCAATAAATTAATTGCTGTTTCCAAATATCTAAATATCTTTTAATTCAAACCTTTTAAAATCAACATTTTTTAAGTCAAGTTTTTTTTTTAACTCAATCCCAATAATAATATTGACATCATTTATTAATTCAATTGATCCTAAATCATTAGGAAGTAAATTCTCAAATGTTAAATTAGTTTATTATTAATAAGTATTCTTATTTTTTTATATCTGAATTTCTGATGAAACAACTCCTAGACATTTTTTAGGACCATAAGTTTCTGCTATATAAGATAAACCAGCTGCATTTTCACACTCTAGTTCTAAAATTACTTTCTCTTTTAGAGACTTAATTTTCCAAAATTAAGTAATTGCATTTTAATTTAATTAAATTCTTTATTTATTAAGTTCTTAATCTGATTTTTAGCTTTAAATCATTTTGTTTGACTCATTCATGATGGAATGTCTAATTATATAATAATATTATATACTAGAATATTATAAACAACTGATCATATATTGGAATATTTACTATTTTTTCCTCAACATTTATTATAAAGTTATCTATTTCCATACGCACCTATAATGGAATTATATAATTGATATAAAAATAAACACCTACTTTCTAAAATGTTTAACAAATATACCCAAAATATGTTTTGTTTAATGATATTGATAATAAATTGCCAATATGGAGTAAGAAGTTTAATTAAAACCTTTATCAATTTCAAATTTGATAAATAATATAAATTAGCGTGTATGAATCTCACTATTTTAACAATTGGGCAAAAAGGCAACATTATTTCTTGGATTGCCTTTATTAATATAAATAGTGGCTAAATTGATATATTAGATCAATTACTTCATCAAATATGTATTGATATGCAGATTATAATGAGTAATTAAGACCTTGTAATGGAAGATTGTATGCAGTTTTTAACTACTTTTTTAGAAGTTATTTTATCTACAATGTGAATCACAATACTTGAAATTTATAATTTAGGCATAACAAAATAGAAACTGGTAATGTTATTGGAAAGAATATTAAATAGATCATAATGAAGCTAGGTATGCATAACATTGCAAAAATCTTGATCAGAAAATGTATTTTGAATTTTCCTATGAAAATTTTTAGAGTTTCCATAAATTATTAAAATTAATTAAATTGGCAATTATAAATAGTTAGATGCTATATATTTAGTAAATTTTAGATTTTATTCATTAAATAATTAGGTTATTTTATCTCATCTATAATCAATCAATAGATTTTTAAATCATAAATTTAATAATTTTTAATTGTAAATCATTATTTTCTAACAAAATTAATTAATGAAAATTTAGAAAAAAATACAACCAAAAATAAAAAGCTTTTTGTTTAATTGTTTGTTTTCGATTACATTTTAGCCTTGCAATCTATTTATAATCTTATAAAGGTTAGAATTTTTCTTATATATAATTAAATTTTTTCTTTCTTTTTTGTTATATAACCTACTAACTCTCAAATAATTAATAAATATAAGCTTTTCAAACTAGAAAGACATATCATCAAATAATATATATTTTAAGAAATAACATTTAACAATTTAAATCAAGCTTTAAATAGAAAAAGTAAAAATCTAAATTTATAAAGTATTAATTTTATATTTTCAATTATAATTAAAACTATATAATTTAAAAAAATTATGTTTAGTTCCAAGATTCAGATGAGAATCGGGAAAAAATATTTTTCAAAATATCAGATAAAACTATGGAAATCGATTTCCATCTTTAAATTAAAGAAAAATATATTTATAAAACAATCAAATGATTTAATTAAAATAAACAATAATTAGAAAATAACATTAATCATCCTTCTTGAATACTTTTATTATATTTTTTCTATAAAGATATTGGATCAATAACTAACTTGCTTTATTAGTTACCATCTAAGGTAATAGCCTAATGGATTTAATCTTATTTCCTATAATTAAATAATTCAAATATTTACTATGTTTCAAATACATAAGATTTTGCTTTTGATATGTTCAAAGAATTATCCAAATTAGGATTTCTTATAAGTTATTGTCCTTCTCTATATAAATTAGGACTTCTTAGACTTAAATGTTGAGTATTAGCATTAGAATCTAAGTTTCTTTCAATAGTAATCTGATTTGATTATCTTTTTAAAATTAAAATTTCTTTAGCTTATGGGATTAAGAAATTTTTCAATTTTAGATAGCGGATTGTAATTCTAATTTTTTTCTATTTCCTATCAGCTAATATTCTTCTTAGAAATCTTATTTTAGTTAATTATGGGAATAGTTTTCTAATAGCAAATCTTAATTGATCAAGTGTATCCTAATAATTAGAGGTTTTTTCATTTAAATATTCTACTATAATTTTAGAAATTAATAAATAAATGATATGAAGATTAAGTACTATAATTATGATTTAATAAGGAATTTAAACTTCAATGGAATTTGATTATTATGCAACATATAAACCAATAGCTAATACTATAGAAGCTAAACAAACATTTGTAGAATACTAATCTAATAGATTCAAAGCTTTAAGTTTATAGGGTTTATATTTTTAATTTAATTCTAAATATAATCCTGTAATGAGCAAAATAATAGTTGCTTTGATTACTATAAAATCTTCAAAATAGGCTAAGAAAATGATTATGAGCTCTTTTTAAGCTATTTTGATTACTTCCCAGAAATATGCACTTCCAGTATATTCATTATAAAGATAACCAAATTAAAGCCTAACATTTTTTTAATTTAAATTTGCGGAATTACGAAAAAGCTTATAAAAGAAAAAAACAGGAATAAAAATTGCAAATATCAAAAGTAAGGGTAGACAAAGTCTTATCATCCATTACCCATGCAGATTAGTATCATATCTTGAAGAAACATTTGATTAAATCCATTTATATCCTGAAATTTATCTATATGATATTAATTACACCAACCCTCCTATAATACTTGGTTGTAAATAAATGTACATATAAATAAAAGTAGTTGTAATAACGCATTTATTAAAAGTTGTTCGTTTCTAAAAAATTAAAATCATGTACCAATGAAAGAAAAATGTAATATAAATTGACGGCATTATAATTTACCAAATTATTCTAGCATATTAAATTTCTATGTGAAAAGCATCAGATAGAAAACAATCTAAAGAATAAGTCATAGCTTAAATAGGAGATCCCATAGCAGTAAATGTATCTTCGAATCCATTAGGAAGTTATAATTAAAACGTAGCAAGGGAGCCAATTATTTATAAATAATTTGTAAGCATTTTAATTAATATTGCTGATTGATTTCTATTTTAAGATACCGCTAATCCCATACTAGATAAGCAAAAATTCCTAAAAAATTCTTTAATAGCTATCAATGTACTTTAAACTGATATAAAAATTGAAACAAGAGTCCTAAAATTATTATAATAAATATTTACCAAATACTAACTAAAGTAATGATCACTATATTTTGATAATTTTCTGTGCATAATCCACAAGTAAATTTCTTACTAATAGAATATTATCCAGCACCTCTTATATTATATAAATCGCATTATTCACATAGTGCTCCAATATGTCCTAAAAAACATGATTCATGACCTTCTATCCAACCACCTAAACAATTTCCAGGTAAGTTTAAACAATAACTTATTAAATTACTCTCAAAATATGGTCTCCAATAACCTTATTTTAAATTTAATAACGCTGATTTTACACTTATAGTCGAAATTTCATCTTTTAATTCACATTTTTATTAATTTAGAGTTAATGAATAAAGACCTTAATTACTATCACATGGAATACAAGAAAAATCTGTATAATTTTTAATTTCTCCATATTAACAAAGCAATGTTTTAATTTAAATTCTTAATTTATAATTAGAATGTGTGCTTTACAAATTATATGGATATTATTCATTATAATTAGGTACAAAGATGGAATTGCATCTAAACTACAATTATAATACAATATCAGAAGGTAATTCATTATCAAAATATACAATTAAATCATCTAAATTATAATCTTATGTTTATTCATTAAAATTAACAACATCAATATTAGTAAAGTCTTAACTAAATTCATATTTTTCATCATCATATTCTGAAATATTTAATATTCTGCTATCAATATAACAAAATGATTTATTAAGATTCTTTATAATACTATTATCTTTACTCAAAGCAATTAAACGAAATTTTTAATTTTATAAAGAGTATGTACGATTTGTTATTGAAAATTTTTTAAAAAGTGAAATCTTTTAACCACTGGGTAAGAAGAAATAATTCTAAATAGAACCATTCAATTATATTACAACCTATTAAATTAATAAATCTTATTTTTTTTAAATTTAAATTGTTGGAAACTTTGAATTTTCATCTTAAAAGGTAATAGTCATTTATTGAGGAACAGACATTACATTGTTTCCAAAAAACTCTGCTTAATTATTATTAATATAAGTTTCGAGATTTAAATAATCCATATCTTATTAATCAATTAAATAAATTCCTCCACCTATTAATGCTGTATTATTTGATATCACACTATTTCTGATTAAAACATTTTTCTTCATTTTAACAAATATTGCTCCACCTACTTCAGATGCATTATTATATTTAAAAATAGAATTTGATATTAAAACTTTTATATTATCTAAATATAAACATGTACCATTCTTAGCATTATTAAATAGACAAATATAATTATCAATGATGACTTCTAAATTTAATTTTTCAACATTTATTTCCTATTTCATTAAAAATCTATATTGTGCTGCATTTTCTTTTTTAATTTAAAAACAACCAAAATCTCCACATGATGAATTAGATACTTTCAAGTTAGAAACATATTATTTTAATATAAGATCCTCAACTTTCTTAAAAGAATAAAATATTAAACCATCCATACAAGATTTGCAATTAATCTATTAAAATATTAAATTATTCAATTTGATTTAAGTTAATTATGTAAGATCTAAAAATAAGAATAATCCAGAATTATTATTATCTATTATTTAATTTTTTCCTTATTAGAGTTATTATTGAATTTAAGATAAAATACAATCTCCATATGAAAACTGTAAATCTTTTTAATAAAATTTCAAATTTAATGGTGCTTTTTTACTTTAATCATTATGTATACATTAAAAGTATATAGTGTAATCTATTGTTTATTATTACTCACAATTATAACTATTAAATTCCTTTGTTATTGTTATGTTATATACCTATACATTAGTTATTTATATTTAATTTGATTCATCTAAAATAAATAAATATTTATACATAAATTTGGATGTAATTAAAATAAACAATAATTAATTAGACTATTTATAACTTTAAAATTGTTGAGTGAAACTATTTAAGCATTTTTAATAATTATTGCAGATTCTAAAAGAATAGAATTAATTTGAATATTCTCAAAGTAAAGATTAATAACTGAATCGAAATAAAATAAAGCTCGATTATTTATTAAAGTTATTTCATCTAAATTTGATAGTTAAGTATATTAATTTAAATAATTTGAAAATTTATCTTTTTCATTTTTAATAAAAATAGAATCTATTTTAACTTCTTATATAGTATATGAAATTGTAGAAAAAACAATATAAATAAAAGATCCCAGTTTAGAATAGATATTTTAAATATCTAATTGATAGACAGAAATTGAAATTATTGGAGAATCTGATTTTAAGTATAAGAATCCTCCATATTCTTTAGCCATGATATCATTAATAATCAGATTATTGATAGTTAATTAAAGAGAATCTGATGTTGAACCATCTAAATATATTGATCCTCCAAATCCTAAATCTTTGGAAAAAGTAGTTGATATATTCTTGAATTAACTCTATGAAATAGTAATTATACTATTTTTTTAAGCCTCTATATATAATGATCCTCCTTATAATCCTACAGATTATTCAAAATAACAAAACTTAATGTCAAGCTTTTCTATCAAAAATTAACCAATTCCAGATTTGGATTTTACCTAAAAGATATTGTTAATCTCTTAATATGATAATTTTTCAGAATCTTTAAATCCCCAGAATAAAACTGGTTACATTACTTAATAATTGAAATAACTATTTTAGTAAAATTTAGAATTTAGTAATTTTAATTGTTGACTTTTAATATAAATGATATTATCAGTGCTGTTATAAAGAGTATTCTTGGAAAAAAAAGAATCTGTAATTGTAATAACTCCTAAAATACAATTGAAATTCAACAACAATGAAGATATTTATAGATTGTTCTAAACATATTCATGTAAAATATTTCCAATAAATGTTATATTTGAAACTTTTAATATAGTTTATTGAATAGATTCTATAAAAATGATGGCTGTGAAATATGTTTGATTTGTTAATAGTAACAAATTTGATTCAACAAAAAAATTACTTAAATGAATTGTTATTAACTATTATTATGTTATAGTATCAGAAGATTTGTAGTATATAATTGGAGAATTGTATGATTAAACAGATTTTATTTGCATATCAATAATCTATAAATTGTCTACAGATGTAAGAAATAAAGATTATAAATAGTAGTCTCCTTTTACCTCTTAGATTTGACAATCAACATATTAATGAAGGCCAAGAAATTTAAACTCGTCACTTTAAGTTATAAAACTAGATGTTATTCTTAAGAATTTTGCATTATGTATACTTATAATTTTTAATCCAAAACCTCTATAAATATTTAACATCGATATTTCAACAAAATCTAATTAAATATAAATGAGACAAATGTTTAAACCATTAAAATTTAAACCCAACTAAGTTTATGTCATATAATTATTTTAAATAATTAAATTATTAATTATAATACTAGTATTTCTATTATTATATTTATTAAAATTTATAAATTTGGCTGTGTAATGATATTCAATATTTTCTATTACACTATTATAGAATTCTATTGAAAAATCTTCATCAAATAATTGATTAGAATTTATGATCCCTTAAGTAAATTCTCCAAATTTCGAATCTTTCAATGTCAAATTACTTAGATTATTATTATTGTTTATTATAATAAGTGTTGAGTTATCGATTAAAGAATGCTCAAATAAAATTCCCATTATTCTAATATCATTAAAATAGACTAAATTTAAGAAGGGTTCACAATTTACTAAATCTACTTTTGCCTTCATATTATTTATAAAAAAATTTCCTAAATTCTTCCATGGATTAGTTTCTATTAAGGTAGTATTCTAAAATTTTCCCTTAACAAATAAATCATTGATTTCAATTATATCTTATTAATTTATATTGAAAAATAATGTTTTTTGATTTTTAAGGGTAGAATTCATAATTTCAATAATTTAAAGTTTGATTTTTTTAGTGTAAGAGGTATCTGTAATTAATATGAAATTTTCAGTATTATTTTATGTGAGATTAATGATTTATAGATTTATGAGGTTTAATTCCTTAACGTTATTAAAAATTATTTGAGACTTATCATTTTCAAATGAGATTTATTAATATATAATAGTGTCTAAAGTAATCATTTGAAAAAAGACACTAGAAAATATTAATTATTTTAGATGATCGTTTTCAATAGGTTAGAATTTTCCTCCAAAAATTGTTATTTTATTAAAATTCAAAAAGGTTATTGTTCTTTCATATTCAATAATAGTATTTTCATTGAAATTTATTGATAATTCTACATTTCTAGAAAATAAAAATTAATAAGATACATATTGGAAAAAATATTCTGACTAAAATTTTATTTAATTGTAGCTTAACCTTTAATTTTGCATATTTACGGTTTAATACTTACAATATTAAGAATGATTGTCTTAATTAAATTAGAATTGGCCTAGGAATAAAATTCATCATTTTCAAACTATATTAATAATATGTATTATAATTACTTCTTTAAAACTAGATCCAGAAATAAGATCATCTAAAAATATATTTTTAATTTTAAACTAAGATTTTTCATAAGAATTTTACAAAGCATTTAAAGAGATTTGAAAATCTTCTAAGGAACAATATAAATTAATTGGGATAAGATATTATTTTACACAGTTTTTAAATTGAATACAATTAATGAAACTTCCTAGCTGTTAATCAAAAAAATATTCTTAATCATCAAAACTTTTTAAACATTAATATGTATTTGTAATATATTTATCATTATTAAATAGAGGATTAATTGATAAAATTTCTTGTTTTGATCTAATCCTACACAAAGCACAATTTTAAGGACATTCAATACATTAATTTTCAGATAAACTCAATTTTCTACCTTAGAATTCTAGATAGCATTTAATACATTAATTTTAGCCATTCAAATATTTACATTCTAAACATGATTCAGGGCATTACTTTATACAATTATCATTAAAAATTTCATATCCTTTAATACAAAAAGTGCAAATAATTTCATAGTCATTCTTATTTTCACTTTAAGCAAAGGCTTTAAAAGAATGATCATTATTTGAATTAATAAAAAATTAATAAAAAGCTCTAATATTCAACTTCCAAAAATCTTTTGACAATTTTTGTCGCTAAATACAATATTAACAATTTAATTAAGTTGGACATAGAAAACATTTACCTGATAATCTATCAGCATAATATCCCTGTTTACATAATAGACATACATGAATTATTCCTGTTAGTCCTATTTCCTATCTTAAACAAGTTTCACAATTTTCTACATATATTGGGCATTGTCGATTAAATTGAACAATTTTAAATCTATCTTTTATATCATATTCTTTGCGAATCAAACAATATTGTATTGATGTAACATAGAGATTAAAGTCTATTGGATTAAATGCAACAGATATCAATTCACCTTGAATTTCTTTAACATATTGCTCACTCATAAGCATTTCTATCATGATATATATATCTATATTAGTAGAATTGTTAAAGCGTTCTGCATATGAAAAAAAGCATTATTCATCAGCTTATAATAAACAACTATTAGTTTCCATTATTAGAACATAACTATGTTAACATCTTCCACATACTGTAATTATATTATGCCAATCATTTCTTGGAGTAAAATACAAATCTAATGTGTTTATTTATAAATCATTTGACTACGCCTAAAATGCATATTAACAATATAAAATGTCATTTTTAAAGCAATTTACACCATCAAAAGATAAAAAGTATTTTGAATCATCTAAACATTTGTAACATTTTAAATAATCTTTACCTATGTTCTCATCATAAAACTTTTGGCAAAAACTACAGAAATTTCCACAAGAAACACAATTTCCATTATCAAGAGCATAACCATCTATACAAGATTAACATTATAAAGTATTTGAGTCGTGAAAATTTTCACATTTCAAACAAGTTAATGGACATTAATAAAAATATCCATCACGTTAATACATTCCAATTTTTGTTTTTAAGCAATTTCCTGTAGATGATGCTTATAAACAATTTATATTTGTTAAAAAACAATCACCATTTTCAGAGAAATAATTAGGTTTACATCTTACATAAAGATCTTTACCTAAATGTTGATATTTTGCTTTAAAGCAATTCGTGTCTGATTCGATATCACAAAAATCCATGAAACCGGGATTTAGTTAGATTTACTTATCTTAGTTTATAAGATAAAAATCATAATTAAATTAATCTCTTTATTCATATTTGTAAGCATCATCTGGACTTAATTTTTCTGAGTTTAAATCATATTTACAAATTGGTTTTAAATACCAAGTTAATGGATAATAAATACAATCAATACATAGTATGTTTTAAAAATTAGATTATGGACTTGATTTAAATGAATAAATACCATTTTACACATTAAAATTAATCACTTTCTTTAGGATAGTGAAAGTATCCAAATTCACAATATGAATCACTAATATGATATCCTTCTTATTATTCAACAGAAGAATACTCAAATTCAAATGCTATACAAATTTTCTAATCTGTAATATCTAGAAATCCATAATTACATTAGCATTTTTTTAATTCTGATAAATAATGTCTATTAGTATTAGTTTCACAATTTAGACAATTATTTTCTAGTGGTCCATCACAAGTTTAACAAGTATAATGGCAAACTATTATTAAATAATTTTTATACCATTAAAAAAGAATTATTTGTCACTCAAATAATTATATTCAAATTTAAAATCATATAAAGATGCTTAAAGTAAATCAATAAAATATTCATCTGTTCCCAAATAAAGATAAAAAGGTGAGTTACTAGTTGAATGTAAAATAAACTAGTTTGTTACAAGTTAAATTTCATTAAAAAATTGTATATATAATAAATTAGTATATTATGCTGTTCCTTATTCATAGTGTAGATAATGCCATTATTGTAATCCTTCAAAATAGTGATTAGAAAATTCATCTTCAAATTCTATTAACATTGAATTAAGAGTATAATTAATAAGTTCTCCCATTATAGGTATGAGATGAAAATCATACCAAACTTCAATTTTACTTAATTTAGGTTCTAATCTATCAAAATGAGCTTTTAAAGAAAAGAGTTCATCACCAAAATAGGTTTATTAAAAGTAATTTTTAAAAAGACTTATTCTAATAAGTGGATAGATTGATTTTTCTATCACTCTTGATGCATCATATTTAATCCATCCAGATAAACAATATCTGGTACCAAATTAATTAATTATATAATTGAGAGATTTATCACCTTCAAATACTAATAATCCTTTAACCAAATAAATTGTTTACTCTTCTTTTAATGGACGAGGCACTTAACAATTATCATTCATATATTATAATAATGGTTCAACTTAAAATTAAATCTATCTGATTAAAATCTTAGATAATCTTCCTCTAAATATGTTTAAGTTTAAATTCTCAATCTATATACAATTTATATAAATTTTATACCAATCCTCTTCCTCCTTAAATAATAGATTAATACATATCATGGCTACCTATTCTACTACTTTATATTAATTGATTGCTCATTTCAACATAGATTTTCTCATCAATAAAATTCAAAGTAAAAATATTTAAAATCCATTTTCCTTCATAAATTATGGAATCATAAAAAAAATATAATTCAGTAACTTTTGCTTCACTTTCTTTAATTATTATTTTATGATAAACTCCTATAGGTTCTAAAGACATTAAAACTATTCCTTTTACTGAATAACCACAATTTCCCTTTACTAAAAATAAAAGTTATCCATCTTCAGATTATTTTTTATTATATTCTTAGTCAATCGTAGGTATATTTTTAAAAGTCTGTTATGGAACACAGAGACTCCAAAAACCAAATTCAAATGAATCTTTTTCATTCAAATTCAAATTATAGATAGCATATTATGATTTAATGGGTAGCAAAGCATCTTCATATTCACTATATGGGCAACATTATAGCTTTGGTAGGCTAAGAAGAATAGAAATACAAACAGTCAGTATTGTAAATTAGTTAGAAATTTTGATATATTACATAAAATATTAATTCGGAATATTCATTATCCACATTATCAGTATTAGTATCAGATATTCAAGACTAAGCATAATTTTATAACAATGTTGCTGCATAAATTAAACTCCATCCATATATATTTAAAAACTTTAATTTAAATTCAAGATCATTAATGAAAATTCTAAATAGAGATTTTATTTTTTTAATATTTTTATTATTGAAAATATTTTAAAAGCTATTCCTATATTCTAATTCCTTTTTAAATATTTGAATGCATTTTAGTTCAATATTGGGTAAAATAAACAAAAAATATGATTTTAATACAAAAACAATAGATCTAAATTAAATTGCATAATTATGTAATAATTTAAGGAATTAATTCAATAAATCTGATATCTATTAATCAGATTTCATTTGAAAAAATTTTAAGTTTTTGATGAAATAAATGATGCTGAAAAAAATCATTCTTAAAGTTTTGATTATTCTTAAGTTTTTAATTAAAATTCTTTAGATAGTTGAATTATCTATTAAAATATCATATGAGAATGTCCTTTTATCTTTTACTTAAATTAATTTTACTCACTCTACTTATTTAGTAATTTATTTGAGTTCATATAAAGAAGAAATAATAACATCTATTTTTTGTAAAGTTATTTTTATTTCATATAATTTATATATTCGAAATATAAATTTCTAAACTGATTAGATCATCATTTTAAGTTCTTCAATATTTTTTGTAAAGAAATACTTTCCATTCATGAATCACTCAATATCAAACATTTAATATTACTTCCAATATCAAATTATTATAAAGAAAAATCCAAAATAATATTATAAATTAGAATTTTGAAAACCTACAATTAAAGTTTATAATTACCTGACATTCTTTAAATCATTATAAAAATTATCAATTCAAATCACTATTTATTTTTTGAAATCAATAATAAGAGTAACTATTATTTTTTAAAATTATTCTTGTCCTAATTTATCTTTTTGAATATTTCAGACTTTTCCTTATTTGTTGAAAAGTTATTTTTTTTCCAAAAAAAAATAATAATTAGAAGAAATAAATACAAATCAAATAATAGGTAGAAAATAAAACTCTAAATTAAACAGAAAATTTTAATTGATTAAAATTCTTTTTCTATATTTATATATATATTTGAGATGTTTTATAGAGTTTATTTTGAGAATTATAATGATATTAAATTAAATTATGAAATTCTCCATTTATTCTACATAAATTTCAAATATAATATTTTTATTGATGAATAATAAATAACTTCAAGAAATAGATGCTGGATAGCAAAATAAATTTCTTCACTAAATATTACCAAGGTATTTTCAATTAAAAACCTACAATTTTTAGTTCTTAAGAAGAATAATTATATGAAAAAATAACTAGAGAAGAGATTGGATTTCGAATAAATCCTCATACTATTAGAGCTTATAGTAAAAAGTATTGGTTTATGACCAATTTTACCATTGAATTAACTAAAAATAAAAATATAAAATATATAGAAAATGGAGAGGTTTTAAGAATGTATTTATTCATTTTTTTATATATAGAGAAAAGATATATCCAAACGAAAGATTAAAAATTAAAAAAAATATTCACATAATTAAAAGCTCTTTATGGGTAGGAAATACTAATGAAAACAATACGAAAATTGGATATTGGTTTGCAAAAGTACATGAAAAGAGATTAAATAGAGGAGGATATTATAGTCAATCTGGATAAAAAATTGGAAAATGGAGTGAATTATGTGATAATTTAAGCGGGTATTTAAATAGTTTAAAAAAAATATAGTGTTTTTATGGTTGGAAATTATAAGAATGGAAAAAGATATTCAAAATGGATAATTAAACATAATAATGATGATATGTAAATATTTAATAAATTTATTAAATAAAGTGGTGGAGGTTTTTATTTTGAAAATTAAATGAAGACCGGATTATGGGTTGAAAATCATTTTTTCTATAATTCGGTGTAATCACGAATCTTATTTTATTAGGGATTCAAAAATTATGCATAGAGGAGAATATATTAAAGGAATAAAATTTGGAAAATGGGAAACTTTTAAAATAGAGAATAATAGATCAAATTTTGAAATTATGTATAAGTTAAAATATGTTAAAGAGGAAAAGGATTTTATGATAAGGGAGAAATAAAACAGGGTAAATGGATAGATATTAAGGATATTTATGAAAAGTATAATGTTTGATTTATTTTAGTGATAGCCAGGTTATTTTTAAAGGGGAATATTAAAAAGGAAGGAAAATAGGATGCTGGGAGACTTTTAAAAGATTGAATTAAGAATAATTTTAATTAATGTACGCATTTAATTAAATTAAAGAGCTATTGGAATTTATAATAATTAAGGAAATAAGATTGGTTTATGGATTGATTTATCTAGAAATTTTTGGGAGTTTATTAAATTTATATTTATTAGAGAAGATGATATTGTACATTAAGGATCATATTAAAATGGGAAAAAAATTGGGAATTGGAAAAGTTATTATTAAAAGAGAAATTATTAAATGTAATAAATGTGTTAAATATGATTAAGTGGTGAAGGAAATTATGATGAAAATGGAATGAAGAATGGATTTTGGACTGAATACGATGAAAATTGTTTTTTGTAATTACAATAATTAAATTTTTATAGTAGAAATCATATTATATACTAAGGAATTTATTAACATGGTTAAAAATCAGGATAATGGAAAACATATTAAAATGATAAATTAATGTATTCAAAAAATAAATTATAAAAAGTGTTGAAGGATATTATGATGAGAATGGAAAAAAAATTGGTTAATGGATAGAACTAGATAAATTAACTCGAAGGTAATGAAATTAAACCTATATTTGATTATATTATGAAGGAGAATATATAAATGGAGTTAAGTAAGGAAAATGGTAAATCTATTAAGCCAATGAATTAATGTAATAAAAAATTATTTATATTAGAGGAGGAGGAGATTATGACGAAAATGGAATGAAAAATGGATCCTGGAAGTATGATTCTACTTATTCTTACTACATTCATGGAATTGGCTTGTAAACCATCATTTAAAATTGAATGCGTATTTTAAATTCTAAATTATTTTAATTTATATCATATTTGATTTTTTATTTTGATTTGTTAATTATCAAAATATTTACAAGTTAGTTTACAAAAAGCTCTAAATTCCAAATTTGAATGAGAAGAAATTAATACTATAAAAAACCATTGAACTTTGATTTTAATTATTGCTGATTGAATTATTTATACTGATCTTTATCAATCATAAATCTCTGGAATTACAAAACTTGAAAAAAATTTGTGCATTACAAACAAAAGGAAAATAACCTATAACTATTTCTAATTCTCAACGTATTGAGAAACCAAATATCTTATTTACTAACTTTAGAAAAATGTTATCATAGAAGTATTTGCTTTTTGAGACCAAATTAAATAAAGAAAAAGTATGTTAATATCTTTAACTTCTTGAGCCAAAAATTTTTAGAAGAAAATTTAAATAATAGTTACAAATTTCTGTTAATTTATAATTTCAAATAATATGATAATTTTGAGGTAACAAATGATTTTAGAATGAAATTTTGATGAATATATACAATAATAAATTATAATAATGAAGTGAAAATTCTCAGAAAATTTTTTAATTTATCTAAGAAAAAAATATAGAAAATTTTTGTGGTTTTTATAAAAAAGCTTTCATCTTTTCACAATTCTGATTTATTTTAGGAGATCCTGATTTTTTAATTGATTTTATTTTTATTATTCAATAACCTTCTTCGAATAAAAAAATAAATAACCAATAATAATAATACTAATAGGAAAGAAAAAAGAACCCAAAAAGCAATTTAGTTTAGACTCTTATCATCTATCACTTAAATAAATATCTTTAATTCTATTTAGGATACTGCGTTTTCTACTAATAATGTAAATGTTATATTATTTTAATTAGAATCATTTGTTTTTATTTTATAACCAATCTCTCCTATAAAAATCTTACCTATAGAATTTTCAAGAAATATAAAATGAGTAGTATTAATTTAATGATAAATGTTTTCTACTAAGAAAGTATGCTTTCCGATATAATCAAAATTATCTGATCCTTTTAAATCATAAAAATAAATAAAAGAAGATGATTTTAAAATTAAACAATGATCACTAAAATATAATTATTCCATTTAACTTTCAATCTCAAAATTTCTTAAAATTCTTAATGGTTTATAATCTAATTATAAATTTTTCTTTAATATTTCAATTAGACTAATTATTGAAAATTTACTTGAAATCTACAAAATCGTAATTTATAATTTTTCATCATCAATTCTACATTCTAAAAATTATAATTTGAACTCATAATTTATATAAGGCTATATTTTTATTTAAAATTATTTATTTACAGCAGCATCTATAGTTTCCTATAAAAGAATAGCTATTCCCTCTACTTAAAATTGCCCCTAATTTAGAGATAGAATTTTAAATTATAAATTCTATTCTTTCTATAAAGATAGTGATATATACAAGTCATTATCACCTTTGATTTTAAGAATTTCTATTATTTACAAATTATTTTATATATAATATATAGCAGATCTGGTAATTGAATATATTTCTAATTAAAATTTTTCTTTAAATAAGATTAAATTTCCTGTTTTAAAGCTTTGAAAAAAAGTATTAGGAGTTATTTGTTTTTATATTTCAAATATCGGTTATGATTTCAATTACAAAGCAACTTAATCAATCAAATAAATAACTCCTCTTATTTTATTAGTATTATGGTTAAAAAATATAAATAATAGTTATTCTTCATTAATTAATATTATATTTTATAAATACTCTTACTTTTCAATTAAATACGAACTTGTATTTTAGAATAACGCAATTGAATTGTTCTTATATTAAAATAGGGTTAAATTTAAAAAATTTTTAAATACAGATCCTAAATAAATATTCTTCATCTTAGCTCCTTATAAAATATTAGAACTGTTTTATTCAGAAAGTATTAATGGTCCTTCAATTTAAAAATTTCCATTATTTATTATTTGTATATGGTCAATTGGACCAAAAATATAATCATTAATATTTATTTTAAAATTGTTCTCAAATTAATTTTTTTGTATGACATTATTTTATTTTTTTAATAATTCAAAACATTTGTTATAATTCAAAATTTCAATTCCTAAATTCATAGTATCAAAATTTGTGTCAATAGGAATTAATTGAAAATAAATTTTTTTGAAAGTTATTAGTGGATTTTATTCTGGGTAAACAATTTCTAACTAAATATCAAAATCTCTCATATTGAATCTTTGTATTTAGTCTTCCTAATCATAATAGAGTAAATAATTTTCTTAAAAAAAAAATTACAATCTACCAATTTGAATAGTTTTTATTTATTTTAGAGGCTATTTATTTAGAATACAAAATAACAATATAAAATTTTTTGAACTATTTCGAGTTGCAATTGCTAAGAAATCATTATTAATTTAGTATAACAATTGTCTGACAATTTCATAATCATATAAATTAATTATGTTTGCAGTTGATAGTTAATCATCATCAATTATTTACTCGAAAATGAGATTTTTGAAAAGATGTATTCCAATTATGTAATATTCATTGTTTAATTTTTTTTTAATTTATATCATCTATATAAAATCTGTTTCAACTAAAGTAATTTAGGAAGGAGTAAACATTATCAAATGTTGAAAGAATTGAATTACAGAGTGATATTATCTTGAATAATAAAAAGCTTGAAACTATATAGTTTGATAATTTTATTAGAGATACATATGATATAAATTATACAAAATATTTTTGATATTTTGATCTACTGTTAGAATTCTTGATGTTTTGAGATCATAAAAATCAAATTGAACTTCATTTTTAGTAAATACAATAATTACATCTTGGTATTAAAAAATATTGATAATTTCACTTTTAAATCTATATTCAATATTGACTGGTTGAACAGCTTCAAATTTTATTAATCTTAATATTCTACCATCCTTTTTCCATAAAAGAATTGAGTCTTTATATTATAATACCTAATATTATGAAGTTTGGATTTTGTATTAAAACTCCCCTAAACAATCTTTCATTTCAATGTAGTTGTTGGTTTAAAATAAAGAAAAAGATTGTTGATTATCATTTTGATAATATAATAAAGTTTATTCTTTGTGAAGTTGATAATTTATTTTTCTACATAAATGATTAAATGGTAATTTATCAAAAATAATCACCCTTAAATTAGAGTCTAAAGATTATAAATTTATTCGATAGTCGTTCAATAAATTCAAATATTTTTTGCTAAATAAGACAAAAAATTATTTATTGCAGTTATTTATGAGTCCAAAAGTTTAAATTAATTTAGCAGATTTTTAATGATAATTAACTTCAAAACATGTTAAAGTATAATCAAAAGCCTAAAATTAACTCGTAATTAAATATATAAATTTTTTTGTAGGCTTAATATAAAATCTGGGATAAGAAAATCTATAAAATAAAATTTCATTAGCAACTAAATCAATTTAACATATTAACTTAAATTTATCATCAAAATAAAATTTT